CTTAATACTCTGTAGTATCCTTAATTAAATTTGCTCGCAAGTGTCAAGGTGCTTATGATTGGCTTGCGATGGTCAGGGTCTTTCTTGATTGGCTTATAACCCTTGAATTCAAGCATACTGTTGCTTCCACAATTTTTGCAAAACTTAAAAAAAACCAACTTTCATTGATCAGCGTTCAACTTCTAGGGCTTCATTGTTGCTGTGCATGGGGCCATGGACTTCAGGTTATTAGTTGATGGCCAAGAGCATCACCAAATAAGGGCGTAGGGGTCACTGTACCCCCTAACAATTGGCCGTCAAGACATCAAAGATTTTTGACGGGCAAAACAAGAAATACTATTCTCACCCTGCAATTTAATTGTAACCTTTTTTGCAACAGTTGCAGTGTATTAACATTTCTGCAGCAGTTGAAATTTCAAAGTATGGCACTTGATTATGAATTTTGAAGTAAAAACGCATAAAAGCAACATATACTGTTATTTATCCTATGACCACACCTTTTGAGAATGAGACAAGCCTATTTTGTCGACAAAATCATTTCTGTACCCCAACCAAAAAGGTTTTTGGCTTCGTCCTTGTTAGTAGTCGATCCACTCTACCCTCCGCAAGGAATATCGCTATTGACCATCGATTTCAAGGGGCAGAAAATGCAAAAGATGAAACTGTCATTGCTGAAATTTTCAACGGTGAAAAAATCATTAAAGAATATTTTGGAAATTAAAAGAATCTAGGATCAATCATTCCCAAAAAGTCTGACAGTTGCAACTGAAACGGTCGCAACAGCCTGGATCCACCCCTGACAGGACACATTGAAAACTCTACTGCGATTCATATGTGGGTGTTGTAAGGGAAGAGCCAAGAATTGCAGGCTTGCTGGGGATTTGAAAACAGCCAAGTAGCATTAAAATCATTTTGGAAAAGTCTTGAACAAACTGTCAGTCCACGTGAGGAAATTATTGATGAAGTTTCGAGAATAGTTTGACACACAGAGTGCACGAGAGGAAACCAATGAAAATAGAGAGAAAGTTATTTATAATAAATTATACTTTTAGGACATATAACTTGGATACCCCCTTTGAGCATAAGTGCTAGCAATCTACCAAGGAGGCTTCATATTTCTGGCCATGTTGGCATACAAAAATTTCATTTGGCATCTGACATTATTTTAGCATTATTTTTGGTATTTTGGAAAACTTAGTCAAATACTTTATGTACTTTTTCCTTCCAAATGGGATGAATTATCTGTTTTTTAATTATGTTGGCTGCCCTATCTTGGCATTTGAGAAAGACCTTTTCTTTAATACCATCACAATTACGGATGCTTTAAAATAAATTATTATTTGTAGTTTTCTTAAAAAATATGATAATTGGAGCACAAAAAGCAAGCACAAAAATTTACATACCAGAATGACATCATCATGTCAACATTTGTGTTTGGCATAATATGGCATCCTTTTGTAACTTGTTTAGCATAAGCGTTACCGTGCAATCTGGCAATCCTGGAGGAGGGTTGTAGGTTGTGAATGCGCCAGATGCAAGTGGCATTTAGCCAGCAGGATATTCATGATGCATAAAAGTAATAAAAACATACATTGCCATCTGTTCCTTTTTGGGCTTCACAGGCAAAGAGCAAAAGAAAGTAGTTGATAATAACCATGATCATTCGTATTGGGATTAATAAATTGAAATTGTTTTGTGCTAACATAGGTTTGATGATTCACGCGTGCAAATATTGACAACAATATGAATATCCATTTGACTGTCATATTCTAAAGGACTGCCAAGTTTCATGACTGAATTAAACCCTTCCAGGAAGTACTTGCATTTTCCGAGAAACCAAGTCCAGAATAAATTTTGCGTGTGTTATTTGTGTCGAGCCAGATCAAAACCCTTCTCCTTTCTAATGGGAATATTTGCACATGTCAAAAATCTCCTGTTTCATTGTTTCAAAAGTTTTAATGATAGTTTAAAGCACTATATTGCTTCTAGATTTAGAAATATTTGTAGTTAACGAGAACTAAAGGCAATTGACAGATACAAAAATGGCTTAAGCCATCTGTCAATTAACTTTTGAATGGTCTGAATTGAATCATCCTTGCTGATTGGACATTTAATTCATCTTTATGGATAAATTGATACAAGTTTTAACATTATTTACCCAAAAGTGTCTCAAAGCAAACACAAAGTAAAACAAGATGGATTTTAGTACCAATCAACTTTCTTTTAGTTTCCAGAAGTATGAGTTTCTAAAATGCTTCTTAATTTCTCAAAATTAGAATGGCATTGCTATATCAATGAGAAATTTGACTGAATGCTATTCGATTTTTCAGTTATACCCTGGTGTAGATCGAAAGAGAAACGGAGAAAAATCGACAGGGTGCAACGAAGATTTATGTCATGTGAACACATGATGTATTTGTATTTGTTTCTACCTAGCATTCAAAGGGGTTTGAGATGGGGTATTTGTGTCTACCTAGCATTCATAAGCCCACTTCATAAGGGGTTTGAGATGGTAGTCCCCTTTCTGGTCTTGAATTCTGCTATATGAGCGCTTAGGATCGCGATCGCTTAAGAGCAGGGGCGGATTTAAACAACAATGATTGGGGGGTGTTAGACACTAATTTTGGTGCCGCACCCTTCAGGTCACTGGAAAATGATGGATACGCCCATTTTTAAAATTTGGCTTTTGACTTTAAAGTAAAGACGGTAAGAAACAGTGGCGTAGCCTAGGTTGGAAGATTGCTGGGGCAAAAGGGAGAAAATGTTTGCTGACCAAACCCCTAAGAATTTGGGAAAACACCCATTTTGTAAATGCGTTTGGAAAAGCATCTTTACGTAGCAATTTCTCTCTATACAGCGTCATATGTAGCGTTTTGTGGCTCACCATATTCTATAACTGTCTATTTCCCTCACCATTCCACTAACGTTCATATCCTGAATTGTGTAAGGCGAGGAAGCACCACGTGTAAAAAATGATTTTCCAAAATTGTAATCAAATATATAAAAATAATAAACAGTATTCGAAAGTTTTAAAGTCTGTTCTTCTTGGACCAAAATCCACGACAAGCATTTCAGAATCCAGTTTTTTAAGGATTGGACTGCTTTAGCATTTTAGTTTCTATTTTATCGGGAATGTCTCAAGAATGTGAAGGACTTTTCTTTAAAAACCCTAAAACGAGGGGGAATTGTTTAACGTTCTGTAGAAATATACAGGAGGGTCCCCTGCGAGCGAAGCGAGCAGAAAATATTTGCGATGACTTTCAGAATATTCCTCCCCGCCCCCGCTACGCTACTGATAAGAAGATAAATAATGTTAACTCTTGGCGTTACTTTGCTACTACCCGCTACCAACAAATTATTTTACCGAATGGAACCAAATTTACTGAAGGACGCAGAAATATTGGGGGGCGGGTATCGCACCCCTTACACCTCTCGCTAAATCCGTCCCTGCTTAGGAGTGCTTTTAATTTGATTTTACAAAAAATCGACCTGTTATTCATCTGCCTTTTGACCACAAAAACACCATGAATTGTTATTGTAAGTGCAACATCAATTGAATTTTCTAGAGATTTTGTGAGATATGGTCAATGAAAAATCTGAAACGTGCAGACAGATTACTGTTAGTTTGGCTTGGTTCATAAAATTTAATACCCGAATCCAAAGTGGAGGAAATGACATCTGTTCATGTGGGCATGTCTCAGCCAGTTTGTAACACATTTACTTGATTTTGCACATTTTAGGGTGATTTATAGGCGTTATGGTCCTTCTTCTGGTTATTTGGCCCAAATCAAAAAAATGGAAATAGCTATTCATGATGTCATGACAGCAAAAAAACATGAGACAAAAACTAACGAAAGTGCCCAACAAACCCAATTTTTCACATTTTTCGAAATTTTTTCAACCCACGCTTTAGGTTGTCTGACGACGTGAAAGACCTTATTGCAATTGGGACAGAGGTAGGAATCAATTATAAACTGAAATCTGTTCTTTTTATTTAGTATTTGACTTCTATTTCCCATAAAGCCCAGTTCACTTTAATGAAAGTACTGCAAAGCTTCAACGTACAAGCATTCTTTGCTTACTCATTGAGATCAGTCATTTTCATCATCATTTACTCAATGATTATCATAATAATCAAAATCAATCAGTATCATCAATCATCAATCAGCATAATCGCCAATCATTAATCGTCAATCAGCAGAACGACCACTCATCAATAAGCATCATCACTGTTGCATTTGTCATACTGTGCACCTGCTAGCTCAATTTTTGATTGTTATCTGATTTTCATTACCGTACGGCGGCAACTCCTTGGCAAACAATAAAAGTGCTCGTTTTGCTTTCAATGAAGAAGACAGCAACTCGTGGAATAAATTATTAGCACGCAATGGGCTCTCCTTTATTGAACAAGCTGTTCCTGGACTATTAGAAAATCCTTTTGTGTACACCATCGTTGCCGCTTCTCATCCTGCCGGTTTCAAGCATTATAGAAAGCGGAACATTTTACAATAAATGTAAACAAGTATTGGATATAAGAGCCATGTAAGGGCCCGTCCATGAGCAATCGTACACAAGCCCGAGCTTGACCTAACGTTGAAAACAGTTGTAGGGTTTTATTGAACTATTCACATCAAATCAAAAGAGGTCAAGACTGTATAAACATTACATAAAAGCTTGTGATGATACTCAAACAGATGCTTATATCACTACAAAACATGTACGTAGCTTCATTCCAAAGGTAGAGTAAACGATTGGTACGAGTAAACAAAAGCAAGCAATGATAGAGTTATCTGCAACTTCTCCTACGAAAAAATTGCTTTTACTACAGGCATATGCAAAATGGTCGAGAGACAGAAAGCAAATACACCGATTAACAAGCAGCTGCTTAATCAAGAGATAGAGTTTGTCTTGTACAGAGGGAATCAACCTGTTGTGTAAATATTGGACAAAAGACTTGATGTTTGGGCGTTTTGAAAAAAGTTTCATTTGAACAGGTTGCGTCTGAGGTAAAACCATTTTCTGGCTGTCAATAAAATACGTGCGTGTTGAAATTATCAGCATTTATGGTTATCAGCATGAAAGAGCGCTTGAATAGGCACACGCTCCCCCTCCCAGCCAGCCAAGATCGAGAACTAATAGAAAAGGGGTGTGAGCAGAATGAAGCTTTTTGCCAGAATACGACCTTTATGTTCATAACATAGATTTTCTATCACGAAGGTTAGGAATGTCTTCTTTCAAAGAAAGAAACGTTGCAGCAAAAGTTTCATTTCATCTGCAAAATGCAATGCATCATACGACACTTTAGTGTAAAAGCATCTCTTTTAAACAGCGTTTTATGACTATAGCCCTATACATTTTTCAAATTTTCAAAATTTAACATCCCCGTGCTCCCTGTCATGTAAACCCTGTAAAAGAGGTAAGCACAGCAAACATTTTCACAGAATACTTTTTTAGTATTATTGATGCAATGAAATTTATTGATGTAGGTTATTATCTTTCAATCGCTAGACATTTTCGTGATTTTAAGAAAGAATTGTTAGATAAAAGCTATTTAATTTTTACACGTCATTAGATGATAATTTTAACTTTTAAAAAATAAAACAAAGAAAATATAATTATTACGCATCAAAATTCAAGTGTATTTGTGTACTATGTAAGACTATCTTCAGTTTTAATAACCAATATGTTTGTTAGATGAATATCTCTAGTCCATTCATCGTACGACCAATCTCATTACTAGAGCTTTGTAATATTGATAGAATCGTTTCATTTTAATTTGGGTCTTCACCAAGAGCTGAGGTTTCAAAAATGCCTGTTTTTTTAATGAATTAAGTGTCTTCATACGTACTAGCTTTAGAGTTTAGAGTAAATATCATATAATTTTTGTTGATTACTTTCTTTTCGTTTTCAGGAATCATAATGACTAAAGAGAACCAGGGGAGATGTCTCTAACTAGTAAGGAGTCATATGTGAAAGTGTTTAATGGCAGCTATATACGCAAGCACAGAAGTTTGGATCAAAGTGTTTCTTTTACAAAAACCAAGACCAACAAAACTAATATTTATATGTAAAGAAACTACGTTGTTCAAATAGGGGGATATTAAAAAGCTACATGTGTAACATGGGGCTGAGCGCTCCTCGTTAAAGCTAAAGAACTTTTTATATCTTTTTCTATTGTTTAAAGAAACTTTTTGTGAAGGGCTCTCTTGGGCTTGCCAAAGCACTACACTACTGTGTAAAATTACAGATTAAAGTGGTTTTCTGCCATTGCTCTTTGGCCTAGGCTACAGGACCTAACCACGTATCTTCGTATCGACAGAAAGAGAAGAGAACATACTTTGTCCCAGTTCCAATGATCAATTCAACCACACATTGTCGACACACTGTTCTAAATGGCACATTCATGATTCTCTTAACTAATTGTGTTCAGCCGCTTTACTATGAATCGGCAGCGAATTAAACGATGTTGCTGTAAATTCGTCTGCCATAGCTTTTCTGTAAAGGGCGATAGTTGTCGCACATGGTCCCATCTCCATTCACTTTTGAAGACTTTAGTTTTCGAAATATTTCGAGCTAAAAAGAAAAATTTATTCAATTCAAAAAAGATAATTCCAAATGCATCAATTTCAGAGACATTGCAACAACTAAGGACTAAGAATCCTTTTTCGTATGACAAGCTTATATCTTCATGGCAGGTGCACAGGAAAAGAGAGCTGCTGCAGGGGATTGTCGAAAATTTTTCTGTTTTTTCTGTAATCAGGTATGTACGGAGGGGAATTAGGCCATTTATTGGAAGAAATACGCAATGTGTAGTATGTTGGTGCAATGCCAAAAGAATATAGAGCTTATTTTTCTCACACTCCCAGGAAATTTTGGACGAAATTCCATTTAAAAGTTGATGAAAATTTATTGAGTAGGAGGGAATAGAACATTTAGTAATTTCTCATATTGGGAAAAGTGTTTTAGGAGGGAAGTACCTCCAGAGGTATCACAGAGTCACAGAGAGAGTTAGTGAAATGTGCATTTTCCAAGGAACTAGAAGCATCATTGCAGAGGTTTGTGACAGCAACGAAAGAATTGTAGGGAAAACTTTTTAATCAGGTAAATGTAGTCCACACCTCCCCCCCCTCCCCCAACAAGGCTTGCCTCGCCTCTCGATGGCTCTGAGTACCCAAGAAATGTTCTAAAAAGGGAGGTTTCTTTCAAAAATTTGCACTTCTTATCTCCTTGAGCAGAAGTCTTTAAAAAAAACTGCCCAGTTTCACGCCAAAAATATTCTTGACGGACTTTGATTAAAATAAGCCACCTTGCATGAGATACTAGACCCTTCACAGCTGCCACTTGCAATTCGTTCTTGCTCAATATAGATTGCAAAGCTTCAGTTTCTATATTTACCTCTTTGCCTATTTTAAGACCTTCCAAAATTCCCACAAGCCTCTGTAAGTCTGCAGAAAATACACCTAACCACCTGCTTGTTTTATGGATTGTGGATTGAAAATAACGTCTTGTTTAAATGCCGCAACAAAAAACAAAAATATTCAATAAGATATGTCTAACCATTTTCTTAGTTATTTGGAATAGGGAAGACTACTAAAGGAATTGCGAATTCTTTTTTACCCGAATAGTCTCTCTAATTCTTTAAGCTAGGAAGTATATGTAAAGTATATATACCTAGTTGAGAATCAAAATAGGCCAACCAGAGAACGTGAGCACATGACGGTTACCTGTTAATCGGATTGGTCTATTTCGATCCACAACTGGGTATATAATTGTAGTATTATTTGCGTTCATTCTATGATAGTTACTGCACCACAAAAGTAAAGCAAAGATTTGGTAAGTTAGTTCATTATTATACGTAAGCCTCATTCAAGTACAAGTACTCAGTTATTTCTACTGGTGATTTTGTAACGAAGTACGATGCATTCGGAGAATGAGGACCAATAACAACATGATAATTTAATTTTCTTTTCGCCTTCCAGTCCAATTCCATCTATCTTTGATATCAAAAACAAATCTATGTTTAAAACTCTATATCAAAAAATGCTGCTTTCTTTTGGATGAAGTGCGGTAGGAATTATCATCAGGTACTACTGGGGGAAATTGAAACATTTTATTGGTGGTTCAAGTGCAGTGAATTATCAAATGTCTTGTTACAGAAGCCTTGTTTCTTTCTTTTTTTATAGAAATCCTCCAATTTTCAAGGCAAATTTTCGAGCCATATCAAATTGGGTTCCGTTGCAAATCAAATCTCATCAAATTAACGACTGCTAAAGTAGCTAGAAGACTTTTTTTAATTAAAGAGCATATATTGAGAAGCAGCTCCAAATCTTGCAAAGAGTTCAAAATTGAATATTTTCTAGTTTTTAGAAAAAAAAATTAAAAAAAGTTTTCAGAAAAATGGTAGCAGTGCTATAACCACGGTTATGGTGAGCCAAGGCTTTGACTAAATTTCTCAATCTTTTCTGTTCTTGCTTGTAACAAATAATAACTTGCTTTTTATTCACTCCTGTATCATTTTGTATCACTTATGCCAATCATTTGTTGCTAATTCATTGTATATCCAAAATTTCTTCGCAAAGCGGCAGCAACAGCTATCTTTAGTTGGAAATCGTAACAGCTTCCGTTGAAACTGTAACTGTTTTTTAGCCACCTCTCTTTGGCGAGTAACCATTGATATACATACCTTCCATTAAATTGGCAAACATTATAAACTGTTACTAGAAGCATCTAAAGATGGGGGGTGGTGGTAACTAAACTTAGTTTTGGATGGGGATGTGTCATTTTGGTTCAAAATGTGGACCCATAATTCCGCACATGCCTGAAAATAAGAAACATGATTCCACAATGCAAACAGCATCTTTAAAACACAGCGAAATTATCAAACAAGTTTTGTATGTTCTTTGCCCCTAAATCTCGATATTACACATGTTCCATATCTTCATTTCCAACTGGACATTCAATTTGCTAATGCTAAATTCCCCTCCTAATAATTTTGCAACATTTTCCCAAAATGGTTTCCATAATTCTGCTAATTCTTTCAAGTGGTACCTGTAATTTCGCACATATATAAAAATGATAGCGATAACTTTGCATATTTGAGAAAAAGGTTCCCCTAAATAATGGCACGTACCCGTAAATTACCCCCCCCCCCCCAAAGCTAGAAGCTAAAATACTCTCTTGAATTTAATATTGCTTTCTAGATTCTAGCAATAACAAAGAATTACAGAAAAAAGTTTCTTCCGTACCTGGTCATCGGTGATTACTGGATGGCTGTTAAAGACTATCCACGTGACTGATTCGTAACACCCTGGAGTTGTAAGCGATCCCTCATAGGTGAAAAATCTATCTGCCTGCATAGGGTTCATCACATTCGGGATTAACTTCTCGAGACGAAAGTCAAATATCTCTGATATTTGCACAAAATCTCCTATGGGTAAGAAAAGAATTAGAAGTTTTCAAACTTCAATTGCAGCAAATATTTGGTGCTCAATACAAACAACTTTAAAGTGAATGATCTGAATTAAAATTTTAGTTCTAATAGAGTTTCTTGTTGTGACAAAATTAGATTTAGTCGTTATCCAATAAAATTGTGTTGCTTTATTGGTCGTTATCCAATAAAATTGTGTTGCTTTATTGATCGTTATCCAATAAAATTGTGTTGCTTTGATTATATTACATCTAGTACTGTCCCTTACACTAAGGCTGCTGGACAATGATATTGTGCAGCACTCAATACTTTTTTGTAACGAAATGCAAATCGGAGTTCAAGAATCAACGCCAGTTTTAACAATAAGACTGAGAGAATCGCGAATAAAGTCGCTATCATTGATAATATCTTATCGAAAACCTCTTGCTTGCATATTTTTTTTGCACTTAATGCTAATTTCTTTCAACTGAACTTCTTCTTTGAGAACGTATGTAAACAGAATAAAGTACAATTTTATTAGCACCATCAATTGGCTGGCTAGGAATGGAAAAAACTGAATAGAGTGTAGCGATAGCCAATAAGCGTAAAGCTGGGATAAATGTGTTTAACTTAACTCATTTTTTGGGGTGGGTTACCTTACTGCATAGGCTGGACAGATGAATAACTATGCAGATTTTAGGCAAATTCCATACTGAATATGAACAATTACATTTGTTACAGCTATATGAAAATATAATCAAGAAACAATTTTTATTTGCAGAAAGTTTATTCAATCACACATTAAACTGATAGTTGACGTGCGAAGATTTTCATGTAAATGTTTGTCCCTAAGCTTTGATTTTTGCATTGATATGTCTGCTTCATATGCCTGATAATGAGAAAGTATGCCTTTAAAATAAAGTGTAATAGTTTTGGCGGAAATGACATTCCATAGACTTATCTAATGGATCAAATTATTGAAAAGTTCTCGACTAAGCACAGGCCACAGAATCTGCCATGTTGGATTTATCCTGTTTGTTGCAAAAGGCCTGTTTGGTCATACATTCTCCTTCAAATACTACTTGTTGCAACGTTATTGACCTTTAAAGCTAGACATGTACTTAAACGAGGCTTTTTAGCCTGTACTAATTTGCCCGTTTGTTCATCACATACACATTTACACTTGCTGTTATCAAACATTTTACTGTTATTGATATTTACCTTCGTTTGGAATCTTTTTCAGCACCTGTAAGATCTGCGTGACTGGCGTGTTCCTTATCTGACTTACAGGAACGTAAGATCGCTATTTGGAAAGAAAACGTTTAGATTTAGGCATTGCAAACCTCAACTTATGAACCTATATTGATCAAAAGTCGTTAGATACACCAAAGTAGCTTCCAAAGCAGGGGAAAGCCTTTAAAGTTGAGTTTCCAAAGCTTGGTGTTAAATCGTCAAATAGCTAGAAGAGAGCCGACAATTATTCGTTGTTTATCCACGTCCTCGTCATATTGGAACATCTACTTCTAAAACTGTCAAAATTTTGGAATTGCAACCATAAACATGGCTTCAAGCAAGCATCGTCAGAGCAATACTCTAATCGACATTGCTAACTCTAGTTACCATTGTCAAAATTAAGCATCGCAAGCTCTATTCTTCTAAAACCGGCTTCACAAACTCGTGTCATCTAAAAATGGCATCGTAATTTCTCCTCATTTTAAACCGGCATCGTAAACTCTCTTCATTAAAAACCAGCATCGGCTTCCATGTTTGAGAGTTTTCGATGCAGTTCAGAGATTACGATCTTTGACCTCCTGCTGTTCCAAAAGGGCTTTTTACATTTAGCGAGCTTTTAAAGATATGATCTATTGTGTTTGCTCCATAGACTTAAAATATAACACTAATTATAAAATACGTCATTGTTGCATATCTTAAATCATGCATAATCTCTTCAGTAAGCATAGCAGTAATTGATGACAACGATGAAAATTTTCAGAAGTCGATAAAGGCAACTAAGGTCCAACCTGAAACAAAACAGCAACAACAGCAATTCCTCGATCAGATTTAGCTGCTTCTGAAAATGTCTCGAATGTCTTTTTGTCCCAGAAAACAAGGTGGAGCTAGAGATGAATAAGGCATAGGTTGAATGCACATTTTAGAAAGGACGCAGTATTTCAAAATCAAAGGCAATTACTATATTAACAGCTGGTTGTTATTGCGAATACGACGCATTATTCCTTTTTTAGATTTTGGGATTTTACTATTGTATACAGACCTACCTCCATTGGGAAGCTTTGACCGTCTATCCTGTGCTCAGAACCTCTTTTATTTTCACAGCCATAATGAAAATGAAGTTGTTTCAAGAAGTAATCATTTGGAAGCAATCCCCCCAATAAACGCACTATGGTGTTGCTTGTTAGAGAAAATGTAGGGGCATGGCCATTGTTTCGCAAGATGCCTCGCAGTGGCCTTCCCTCTGGTTCGACCCGGATTGCAATGTTTTTGCACATTGTGTCATTAACAACATCTTCTGTTTTGATAGATATTGGTGACTGCTTCCTGCCTTGGCAAGTCCAGTCAGTGTGCAGAACTTTCCACATCTCAGGGCCTACAAGAAATAGAAAACTGCTTATTCCAACAATGCTGGCCAAGTGTCTTATAGATAGACCCACAGCAATTTCACACCTTTGAAAAACAATCACGAATTTCCATGAAGAGAAAAAGCTTTCTCTCAATTCATCAAGAATTTCCTATAAGAATAGTTATAGATTTTTGTAAGGAAGGTATACACAATTGATAATTAATGGAAGGCGTAAATATTAATTGTTATCTACGTTAGACAACGACTTAAGTGTTTCTTTATCAGTGCCAGCTTCTCTCCAACACCCAAATCAAAAGCACCGCTAATACATAAAAATATGTAATAAGCCTGTCTCAGACAGTTTGTTTGCTAGTGTTATTTGATGTAATGGTATATATTCATGTAATGGTATACAAAGTAATATTTCTATGCACCTAAAACCACCATCATATTCCTATTTTTTCATTTTTTTTACTTCTTTGCATAAGAACATGTTTAAGAGATCCAATTAGATAATCTTTTGAGAAGCAAAACATAGATCGAAACGTGTGATCTAGCCAGTTGGAAGTCAACATTGTCAAAATGTAGTATAATTCCTTTATAACAGTCTACCGAATGAGAAGGAATACAACGGCAGCACCCCATATACGAATTCCGTTCCGGAGGCACTGTTCTTTGCAATGCAGTATCTTCTTCTCAACAGTTTGATAACAAAAGCTGCGGGCGCTTATTAGAGAAAATACAGAAAGAATAAAGAAGATCATCAAATTAATGAAATGCCACGCAACAATTTTCGTTTTAACTAGAAAAAAGGAAGGAAAAGTTATTTAATTTACAGGTCCGTACATATTTTCAGAATTATGATCTTACTAAAACATGCATGAATAATATTTTCATACCTATTGGGGAATCAGGATCGTAGGAGAAAGCAAATTGCTGCTTTCCTCCAGAGCCTCTTTTGTTGGCATCAACCCCAGAGTTGTTGTTTTGTTCCACCGTTGATGTCACATCAATAGACTCTTTTCCATTTGTTGACGCATCATTTGCAAGAGATGCCCTTCTGTCTCCAGATTCTCTCACTTTTTCAATCATTGCATCATTGATTTCTTGTATGATTTCTGTAGGCAGACGTTCTTTGATAATTTTGTGAAGGATTGATTTACTACTATGAGTTGGTTGTTGGTCCAGTGATTTCTCCTTTGTTGTATCCTCGCTGTGATCACTTGTTTGGAAATCATTGGCAGTCTGGGAAGGCTGTGAACCTTCATTGGCATCAGTCTCAGTTTCAGTATGAGACAGTGCACCATCTGCGTAACTATGCGACGCATGCGCAACATCTACTTTCTCTTCTTTCGGTGCAAGCTGCGTGAGCTTCATCCTCGATTCTCCTTGACTAGATATCTCATTAGTTCTAACCGCATTGTCCTCTGTCCCAGCAAAAACATCGTCATCGTAATCTTTTTTGTGGGATTTCAAACTTTTATCAGCATGTAAAGAGTTTTGTGTATTTGCATCAGAATCTTTTGATCCTTCTTTAACATCTACATCGCCTTCGAATGCTCTTATCAAAACATTAGTGACAGGTTGTGCCTTTTTCAGTTGTCTCGAGCTGCCAGTTTTTGTATTCATTTTCATGGATGTCAAATCCGCTTCACTCTTCTGTTTAGCCTCCATTTCACCATCTGAGAGCTCTGTGTCCTCTGCTTGTCCTTTCGATTCATTTGATTCTTTCGGTGCCTCCTTATTTCTGTGAAAAGACACCTTTTTTGTAGGCCTACCGCTCTTGGCAGTCATTTCGTCCTTGTGTAGCAGATTTTTATTCCCACTGTCATTTTCATCAGAATACTCTTCGGCTGCATCATGGTTATTTTCTTCTTTGTTTATTATCTTCAGCAAGCTTTTCAGTTTATCAGTTGGCAAACCTTGCAGCCTGTTCATCAGATCTGCATTTTCCACCGCATCGTCTTCACTTGAGATATCAGAATTGTTTGTGTCGGCCTCGCTTTCACGACTCCTGTTCTCATCCCCTTTTGATCCTACTTGCCCTGAACATACTAATTGAATGGAAAAAAATTTAATCTTAATTTATATTTGAATCCATTCTGTACCTAAAAAACCACAAAGACTTTATTTTATACTAAGAGGTCTTTATCAACAGGTAGAATATAATGTAGAAATAAACGACAAACGAAAGCCATAAATGCTGTTTTCCTGTTTTCAGTAAATTCAAACTTCGGTAAACTATACCATGAAGATAACAAAGCTATCAATTTAGACATCAAACATACTTGTTTTTATATAAAGTAGAGATCAATTTAACAATCTTTTAATAGATAGTCTTATCAAGGTAAATGGGAAAAAATCACATTAGCAATCGTGGTTTCAAAACAGATTTACACGCTTTATTCTGTTGGTTCTTCGTTACAAGCAGTGAAAAATTGTATGTATCTTGTTTTTAAGTTACAGTAATAATTTTGTGTCGCTTTGCAAAACCAAGTTTGTGTACAACGCTTAAATTCGATTACCCTGGCTACATAGGGTAAAATTTGATATTAAGTATTAAATTAAAAATGAAACTCCTTACCTATCTGAGCGAAGACTAGTAGCCATAATGCGAGAAAAGATAATCCCAGCTGTATATTCATATTCGATTTTGACATCGAACATTTTGCTGTGATACTTTGAAGGCAGGTTTCATATCCAAGTCTAGTTACCCATTTCCTATTGCATCCATGTTAGAAAATTCTCAATTTTCATTTTGATGCTCTGCTCTCCGATCACAAGGCAAAGCGATGAAGTATGGTCATTACACTGCATCGCCACTGAAGCATGAATAAGTAATGACTTAGGCCAACTTGATAGTTCACAAGCTCATAAACCTTTCGCGCTCTGGTAAATGCAGGTCTGTGTATCGAACGAAGCTGGCTGTTTTCAACAAACAAGCAGATATAAAAAGTCCAAGAAAAAACAAGGTTAATAAAGATTTCGTTATCTCGATAAAAGTGCAAATGATATATTTGGAAGGCAACGATGGGCTCATTCGATTTTCAAGAAAGCAATGATGAACTATTGATTTATGGATTCATTCAATGAAGATAACTGGTGCCCCTGGATCAGAGCAAGGGGCGTCGATAAGTTCTCTTAGGCCTTGAGACCATGATTAAGAATGAGACCAGAATGAGAAAAATAAAGCAAGTTATCTAGAGCAATAAAACACTACTCTAGCATTTATTCTTAGAAACTCGTGTTGCTACATTTTTACAAGCCATTTTTTCAAATAAACATTGTGGCTTCCATATTTATAAGACTTATCAGGCCCCGCCAGATGGAGCTGATTTGAATTCCGAAAAATTCGCACAAATTAGGTACCTTATCGTAATGCTTTTTGCAACTTCTAAAAGTCCTAACGCATACTTTAATTGCTAAAAAATCAATCCTGATGTAAAGAAAACATTTCATCAGAGAATCATGATTCTCAACTGAAGAAAAAGTTAGCAACACCTACATTTTTGCAGTCCGTATCCTCTAAAGAAGTAACCAGTAGCAGTTAAGGAGTAACAGAGATATTAAAATGGTTTTTAAAAAAGCAAGCATTCACAACAGGCTACTTAAAGCTTTTTCGTCTGACACTCCTCAGAGTATCAAACGTCAGAAAAAACATCCGAAAGAACAAGATGGAAAATATATACCCAAATGTTTGTTTTTTCGAAGCCCTTTTTAAAGTTCTGTACCGCAAAAAAATTTTCAAGGCTGCTAAAATAAAGTGAAGCTTAAGTGGACAACAATGCCAAGGCTTTGGCTCCTTTAGGAGACAGGGTAGTCGAGGTGGGGGGGGTCAAACTAGATTTCGATTTATATCATCATTGCTAAACAGCGATGAAATGCAAAATTTTGCTAGTGATCTTATTTCTAACTGTCTTCATCTTAACCTAAGATATACTACCACAATTGCTTCTTTACTGATTTACAGCTGTCTTCTATTCAGAATAACGTTACAGTTATTGATCATGATTGACCTTTCCAAAAGGTAAAACTGATAAAAACAAATTCAAGGAAGCTTCAAATCACAGAAATCCTAGCCCGTACCAAATTGGGATTTGATTTCAACTTTCGTTCCATCAAGAATCGACAAACATGTAATGGCTGTTTTACGAGCGAGCCTTAACTATCATAATGTCGCTCTAAACACATCTACAAAAATCGAACCTTGGAACTGAAAAAGCTTCTTAAATTATTCAAAGACTCATCTTAAAAATGACAAAATCGCGAATAAATAGGATAATCTCACCGCTATCTTGCTGTTTTGCATTTTAAGACTACACCAGCTGTTTGCAGTCGTTGAGATTTTCAAGAAATGAAATATGCTTCACCGAACAGTGGACTATTCCAAAAATATGTACAAATAATTGTTTGTGTACATTTGTCTTGAGGTATGGAAGACGCATCTACCAGAGACGAATCCATTTTGACAAAAGTAAGCTGTGAGATTCTTGTTTTTCTAGTCGATATTTTTTGTAGGCCTATAAACCTGTCATATTCTTCTGTAAACAATGCATATATTGAAACCTCCTATATTGAAATACTGTTAGCAAAGTAAGCGAAAATTGATTTCTATAATTTCCTCTGAAATTTCATCATGTTTGTCCTATCATTTCTTCATTGTAGCATTGTAGCAAAATAGCAAATAATGAGTCTGAAATCAACGAAAGTTTTGTGGGGACGATTTGCTTTAATTTTTAATCAAGCAGAGAAAAGGGCAAAATAGTCTACAATAGTATCTTGGGTCTTTTCAATGAGATTTCAAATGAGCTGGCCACAAAGAATTTTCACTGTCATTCTGAGCACCTAAGGAAACAGATTGGTTTTTTGCAACATTATCTAAGATTTTGAGCTTTTTGGTTACCAAGTTCGATTAATAGGTTTTCCAAGATAACGGAATTAAAGTTTCCTACATTTTTTGGTCAGCTTTTATCCTTTTCAACGTAGAACATTTTAAGGGTAAGGAAGAAAAATCCTCTAGCCTCACAAGTATTTGTGCAATTTTCAACATTTATTTGTTTTTATCCAATATTTTTGCAGTTGCCTTTTTTTGTATCAAAAGAAATCTTCATATGTATAGGGCATGCAACTACAGTTCAAAGCAACTGTAAATTTAATGGTTCTCGACAATGTTTATTACCGTGGTAAAGGTCGCGTTGCATTACGCATGATAAGGGTCTGGGTTCTCCTTACGTCAGCCAAACTAAGTCAGCAATTTGAAAGCATGGGAATCTAAAGGTACAAGACTATATGTTTTAGAATGTCTTTTGTGTTTAATCCCCATGCCCACATCCCCATGCCCACATCGTTGGTAAATATTCTTGATAAACTTCTTAGCGTTTATTCAGAGAACGGGTAGCCATTGCAAGGAAAAAAGTGACTATAGTAGTTGTTTAGAACTGTCACTCAAATGCTTTGGCAATTCCATAATGTAAAAAAGGTGATCTCATACAGGCAAGAGAAACTGGAACGAGAGCTTTAGGAATCCATGCATCGATATCAGAAAGAAAGATGAATCACAGGACTTCTTTTATTCATTGTTGAAGCCTCTATATAAACTCGTATAGATTTTAAAGTTTGTCTCAATACATTATACCGGCATTGATACCCAAGGGACAGACATGTTAGTCAATCTTTCATATTAAGGGGGCAAACAACAAAAAACGAGGTAACTTTTAGTTCTGATCATTGATCTTTTATAAAGGAAATAGAGTAGTGTTTAAAAATTATAAGGGGGCTGCCAGTGTCAGGCCTAACACTGCATTGACTAAGAATCAAGGCCAGACCATTAGTTTAATCAAGAAAAGCATCTTTTTAGAGCCAAATTCAGCTGAAAAGAAGACTAGCACTATACACTCGCTCGCGACGTTTGATTTCTCAGAATGGATTCTGCTTGGAGATGCTTGAGAATGGAAGAGTGCAAGGGACAGAAGATAAGTTTAGCCCTTTTGGTGAGTTTTTTAAAGCGCTATGCAGAATAGAATTGACGGATGGACTTGAATGGAATCATCAAGCATTTTATGTGATTTAGATACAATTTTTAACGATTTCATTCTCTATGACCATACTGAAGATTCACTACATGGCTACGAGACCGTATAATAGTGAGGCAATACCACTCAATCATAAGACGATGACAGAAAGCTTTAAGAAGTTTGCTAACTAATTATCAAAACATTTCTTTATTAAATAGTTAAATATTTTAATCTCCATTGATTGCAGCGTTTTGTAACATGAAAATGATTCCAATAAATTTTGTTTTGCATACGATCGATCGAGTTACTTCCATGTAATATCTCCATAAAAGGTTTCTTTCTCATTTATAATCTAGCCCAGATTTACATTGAGTTGAAATTTTTAAGCCACGTGGCCTTTTCTTGATACATGGCTACAGTAACCGAGTCTGAAACATTGCATATTGCTTTATAATAGCTGTTCTAAACGTTTTATCAATTGGCGAAAACATGTTGACAATTTGGGGAGCAAAAGCTGAAGCTTATCTGGCAGTTGATCATCAAGGGAATGTCTTCACAACAGTATGTATAAATCTTATGAAATATGCCATTACAGTAATCAGTTGTTTGCTAAAGGACAAAGGTGGGAGGTACGAAACATTTTTTTTCTGAGACACTGCTTATAAGGCTATGGGAGAAAATTTACCTTGCAGAAGTAGTTATTCTAGCTACAAAGTAGGGAGTTTTGGTAGACAGTGCAACCTACCTTAATAGTCCTGGCTATGAAATCAACTGAAATACTACTCATTCTATGAGCATGATTCTTGCTGTATCCAACATGTATAGCTGAGTCCAATAAGTCCCAGTAAGCTGGCAGTAAGAACTTCTCGGGTCTGAAATGTAACAAGATGACAAATTACTTAAAAAGATCAAACTGATATTCTTAAAATGCGATTAATGAGAAAAAACTGCACATTCTGTCTTATAGCGAATATGCCCTTTGATTAGTGGCTGATGTTTCTTCCTTTTAAGCATCATTCAAAGATAATAGAATTGGAAGGTCTTTTTCAATCAGGACCAAAAGTATGCGTATTTTAGAGTAACTTTGGTTTGGTTATGTAGATCAATTCAAAGCAATGGATTTGCCTGGCAGATAAAGCTTTTGATTGGAAAGTGAACAGTTTCAAGTTTTGTTTGCAAGTCGATAGAAGTAATTTAATCAGAGTGAAAAAGTATTTTCAGTTTATTCACATACGATATCATCTTTGGAATTATGCTGTTATTCTTTCACAATTCCTCCAGATCAGGCTGTGTTAAGATATCTACATAATGTTATTAGCGGCTGGTTAGAATAGCTTAAAAAATAGTTCCATGGTTGCAATGTGCTATGTTCTTCTTATAGCAATGTATTTTATTTAAAATATATTATCCTATTTAATATCTTATAATATCTAATTATCTTATTTATTTATCGCATTTAATACCTTATTTAATAGCAAATTTTTATTTTTCTAGAAAACTGAAGGCCATCAATGTGTGTTTATGGAGCTATTTACGAAAGACTTTTTCAACATCTATGGCAGCTTCAAATCAGTGAGTGAGGGACGGCCTAAATGCTTGCATATTTTAGGGGATGGGTCCCCTGTGACTAAAGACTTCTTCGGTTTGCCAGACAGTTCATGCCAATTTTTTTGGGATTTGCCCACAATTTCCGTAAAGCAAGCAAGATTCTCTAGCGTTTACAAGAAAAAGTAAGCTAAAAACAACTTTGGTGTGCGTACACATCATCTGGTAACAGAGAAAGTATTAAAACCAAATGAATATTAAAAATTATGTCATAATGATTATAGAACTTCAAATCTTGTTTCAATCGTCAAAAAGCATTAATAGTGAATATTAATGGTTCGATGTCAAACTTTTTAGTGGAATCTCTAAACAATTTTATCTAAAAGACTAGAGGGTTTAAATTTGAGGGAGATAAGTCACTTACGTGGCTAACTTTGCAAAGCACTATAAAGTGATATTTCTATCTCGTTGTTTTAGGGCAAAAGACCATCGCTTTTTCATATGACAAGTTTTTAATTGTAAATTTCATCTATCTAGATATCTTATCTAAATAGATCTAAAAAATTTCTTTTTTTGACCAATTTTCAAAGAATTTTAATCTATTTATTTTATTAAAACTGTAAACCACATTGATGCAATCATAAATACAAAATGAATAAAAACCTTTAAAAGTTAAGCCAAAAATATGATGTAAAGAATTTAAAGGAATTTTCTAATTCAAGTCTCTATCTACTTCAAAGCGAATTCCGGTTCAGTCTCTATGTATATCTAAAGCCAATTCTAATATCGTATATCCTCTAATGAACGCCTCCCTCTGATAAACGCCGCCCTCTATTGAGCGCCGCCCCTTCAGCCAACCATTTTGAAAAACGCCGCCCTCTGATAAACGCCGACCTCTGATAAACGCCGCCCTCTATTGAATGAAAGTTTTTATCTCATAGAGACGAGGACTTTGACGGAGAAAGGGATATTGAAAATCCTTGACTTGACTTGACATTCTTTTTATCTTTTTCCATCGCATTTTTCTTGTCATTTTTCGTTTGACAAACTTTCATTTTGCATTGAACGCCGCCCTCTGATGAACGCCGCCCTTTATTGAACGCCGCATCCAAAATTTGGAGTTTATAATAAACGCCGCGGCGTTCTTTAGAGGAAATACGGTAATGAATTTAATTTTCATACTTTTGCATTTAGGTAACTTAATCCCTCTTGTTTACGCGCCTTCCCATCTATACGCCACTTGAATCATTTCGCCTCTATGAAATATCTTTTAAAAGCTATAAAATTCGGCTAGCTGAGAATATTTTTCATTATTTAGTAACACAAACAAACTGGCGTACCAGTACCACAGGGGTCTGTTTTAAGAAACTTATTATTTAACATCTCTAGCAATGACGTAAATATTTTATAAGTATTAAGTAGAGTCAAAGGTCTGTGATCTTGTGAATCATACTACAGTATATTGAAGTTATCAGTACTTGAACAGTAACATCAAAGCTTTAGAACAGGGGTTCTTAATTGTTTTGAGTGCCGGGCCAGAAAAACATGTGGATTTTATCCGGGGGTCACTGAGTTTTCGACTTTTACATTGCTTGTATCGGATCTCATACTTACAAGGCTAATCTAGAGATAAGATATGCAGGCCTATTATTTTTTCTTAGATTCTCTATTCATAAAATCATTGTAGTGCGCTTATTTTCATGAAATAAGTTTTAGAATGGTGGATGAGAGGAGAAAAAAAGGGAGGGCGATGATAAGATTTAGGAACATTTTGCTGCCTTGATGTTAGAGGGATTGGCTCAATGTGAAATACCCGACAAATTTACACGCCCAAGGCCAGGGATAACTTTCTGGAGGAGGGGGACTAAAAGCTTCAAACTGTAACAAAGTATATAAAGCCAAAAAAATGATTTAAACAAATGTTTGCAGCATGCGTTCTTTTGCCAGGTTGAATCAGAAGACAGTTGTGCTATTTTTAGGTTACGACGTTAGGGATGGCCAGAAACTGCATCTAAAATAGAATTTGACGGGAAAGAAGCTAACGGTTCCATGGTTTTATCTATTCTAATGTTGAAGTGAACATAAAGGGTCTTCAAAGGTTTTAGAATTATCTTAGCATAACAGCGAATAATCAACTTTTTTACAAATAAATGAAACCAAAATAAGATGGAAAGAAAAATAAATAAAACTCATTTGGGCTATGAAGAATTAGCCAGTGCCCTAGTCCACACACGCTGCCTCATACACATACGCTAATAAGCATGAACTTCATAAACTAAAGATTAAGTCTTACCTTGGGCCTGGGTTCTCAGAAAGTTGAGGAAAGGGTAAGGTCATGGTGAGTTTATCAACAACCTATTGAATTCAAGGAAAGCAGTAAAATATTTTGCTATAAAACTTTTAAATGATTAGATAAAGTATTCCTATTTTTGTACTTCACATCATCATTTACTGCAGAGAAAAAGAAAATATCAGAACAGTCTTGAAACAAAACTAAATCGAATAGACAAGGAATTTTTTTAGAAAAAAACGTGCAAACTGTCTAACCTCAAATTTTTGAAATGCTAATGCTAAACGAGTTTTTGTATATTATTTCACATACCAACTAAATCGACCATGGATATTTCAAATCCAAGATGGACCAAAAAAAATTTACAGCGGAAGTTGATTGTTTTGATGGCATTATCAAAAATTGATACAAATTCTTTAAAAATCAGCGAAAGACTTGACCTCAACTTTTATTGTTTTTTTTCGACTAAATAAACTATGCAGATTTAAAATCCAAGATTGAACAGAAAATATTTTCAACATATGTCCAATTTTTTGATGACGTCATAAACTTAGGAAAATTCACTTTGAACCGCATTATTGTTTTATCAAAACTATTTTTGACAACCAATTTCCATATATGCATAGCACATATTCTGTGCCTTTGAATAATGTATAGAATAACTATTTTTTTCTACTTCTAAACGTTCTTGCATGAGGTTATCATCATTCTATGACGTCATAATCCTTCACAGGTAATTGGAAATCGTGGATGAGAGAACCTAAAAATGTTTAGATAGTAGAAAATAACTGGACAGAAGTGAATTTTGTTGAATAGGAAGTGCTATAGAATCCATTCATTCACTGTCTTCTTTGCTTGATATCCCAAAGAAAATGAGTACAACTCATCTTCTTCTGCCTCTAGTCGATCACTGTACTTTCCTGTGACATGACCTGATCTTCACTGTTTCAAAATCTTCTGCAATTTCATCGCTATAGCACTGCAGATCTTGCTGCTGTTTGGCAGTGTATGTCTGGGGCCCTTTTACGGATTAAAATAAAATTTTTGAAAAAAATATTTCGGGACTTTGGTGGTTGACTCCAATATTTTTTGCAGATATTCACAGCCTTTTTAATTGAACAATCGGATATTGTTCGCGTTTAGTATTTCAAAAACTTGCTTCTCTTTCACATCTTATCAGTACCGTTCCTTATTTATTTACCAATATATGTATTTGAATTTGAATATATAAAGAATATTTGTTCTTGTAAACTACACTGGTATGTCCAGCTTCTCTCTCAATCGTAAGTCCAACAAATACTTCAAAGTCAATTTCTTTTATAATCTTCTCTTCATAATAAAGGCAATAGTAAATGACCTTCTCGGTGAGTCTTTATGTAGCTGTGAAACTTTTGTGACTTGTTCTTTTTTGCCTTGAATAGTTTTACTCTTATCTGCACAACTGTTTCGTAACATTTACCTTTTTATAATAATGCTTGGGTGTGATCTTGAAGGTGTAGATAGATAGAATAGTGAAGATGTAGAGTAAAAATTCTCGACTTAGACGCGAACTTCTTCCTGCACAAACGGAAAGCACTTACACTCTAAAAATGTTTGAAGATTCACCAAACAAATTTAAATGTTTCTTAATTGTAAAGTTCTCTGCCGCATTTAACTGTCTAGCTACAAAAGTTGTGCAATAAATACTTTTGTGCGTTAACTTGATGAATCAAAACTTTTAAAAATCATTGTTAAAAATCGCATCTAGTGTTGAAAATCAATGTTTACTTATAACAGCTTACAGATAGTGATTCTACACTTACTTTCGTAAAGTTCTTGTTCAGAGCTATGAAATATTTGCAATTATAAAATATCATATTGAGAGAGTTTATGAGAATGTCCTTTTTGAAGCAATATTTGAATGACATGGCCATTAAATTGCGTCAAAATGAAGATAAGAGCAGTGTGCGAATCATTACGTAAAAATAAGACTTAGGTATTCCATCGCTTTGTTTTCCTGTAAATAGAACAGCTACCTGGTATGGTATGAGGAGCGATCCCATACAAAAGTCATCCAAGTTACCCGTTGGGATTACGATTACAATAGATCGTCTCAATCTTGGGAGGAATATGCCTAATCTCAAAACGTAATGAAATATTGAAATATATAAACTTATAACGAATTAGTATTTAAACATTTTTCCCGCCAGAATCGATCACTCGTCATTAGACATTGTATTTTGTTTCTTCGTTCTTCCTCGTGTCGTTTAGGACGTAGGTATCCAGGAAATTCGCTAAAAGCTAAAAATATACCTTTTCACTTGCGCAAAGACTTTTCTCTATTTCTAAATTAACCTTTTTGTCTCGAACGATGTCGAAATTTCCGGGACTTATGTAGAATAACGGTCAATGCCCATGATGTGAATTATCAAATAAAAACAAGGGGTACAAACTGATGTCGAAATTACTTTCACTCATTTTCCAAGTAGTACTTACCTATTCTCTACCTAGGTGTTACAAAGGCACACAGAATGATAGTTGTTCTATTCCTATTAACATATCATGAACTCAAACTCACCGTGCAGATGTCCATATTTCCTTCTTTTGTTGAATAATCGACTGTTTTCCTTTCCTATCGCTTGTCATTATCCATTTGCTGACCATATATTATTTGTTAATGTTTATCAAAGCCAATATGTAGGGAAAAACAGTAAAAAAAGTTTTGCAGGTGTTTTATCGCCAAGGCAAAAGCAAAGCTGCAGTTTCATCGAAAAGCTTTGAGAGCTTCGCGTAAGCTTTATGGCATTCCTGAGATGTGCAGAGGTAACTAAAATGTATACCTGAGAGGGAGAGAGAAAAGTGCAGGACGTGACCACGCGCTTTGTTCCGCGCAGCAACCCTTGAAACACAAAAGAAAAAGCTCATGCATCGACTCAAGTGCTATTGAAATCAAACAAGGATGTTTTACAGCAATTTTGATTGTAAGGCAGTGTTTAAGTGCTATTTCTGCAAAGACTACTTTGTCCGTGTCATCTCTTCTAGAGAAACCACCACCTTTCTGTCTCCTGATAAAACTTGAACCAATGAATTTCTAAGAAGCCTCGTATTGCAATTAGGTCAATTAGGCCAAGTTATTCCTTTTGAATCAAATTTACCAGCGTCGCTTTTCAATTTCATTTTCATTATCAGTTCGGCAACCATCGTTTTCTTGTCTATCAACAAGACTGCTTTATGAGGACTGTATAAAATGTCTGAAAACCTAGCAAATAAAATTGCGCAGCCAGTATGCTTTCGACTATAATTTCAAAACCGGCTAGATATCTTACCGCATTAAAATACAAAAAACAATCTATTTCTCCTCATGTAAAAAACAGCTATTTATGAAAGAACTTCATATTTGCATTAAGGAAGTGTTCTGCTTCTTTTCGATACAGAATCCTAAGTTCCATCAACTGATACGGGCACCCTGTGTTTTCTTTGAGGTCCTGTTCAATATAAGGGTACCGATAATAAATAGGGAACCTTGCACTTTGGTCCTGCGCATAAGTCCCCATGATATAAAGGGCATCCTACCATTGGTCCTAGAACAAAGAGCAGTCCTGCTCAACTGCGTTGAAATTTTGAAACCCTCTTTTTTTAAATAATCTACCTGATATAGATTAGAAACTATTTAGAATTGTGCATATGATGCAATTTCTCATTGGTTCAGACATATGGATAGAACAATAGTCTAAACAATAGAAATCCAGACTAAGTTCTGAGCCAAATCTAATTTTGATACTGATTTCCCGAGAAAGAAAAAAGGGGGAAAATAACTCACACTTAAACCAACAAAGTCTGTATCAAAACATCGCAAAAATTTAGAAGTCCAAAGTCCCGGATTAAAGTGTAACGTCCCGGATTAAAGTTCACAGCCTATCACATGGTCTATTTTTTCTTTCTTTACTCATAACAAAATACAGAATACAAAAACTAAAATTCAGCACAAGTTGAATTTCACTATGATGCACTGTAGGTTAAAAAACATCGAGTCACCTTTAACTCAACATTGTAATGAATAAATTCAAGGGAAATTAAAAGTACATCTTTACAACAAGAAAAACTGCCCATACTCCCGGACAAAAGTCAAATGCTAAAAATAAAATCAATTTTCTGACACTGATAAAAAACTACATTACTTTCTGGAAAATTCTGTATTTTCAGTGTCAATGCCCGAGGATGAAGATCTAGCTAACAAGCTTTCTCTCAAGAAAATACATCGATTTTCTAACAAGGCAAACATTATAGTACAGTTTTAGTCAATTTCAAATCCTTAGGCAAATGACAGAAAACAAATCATAAAAAAAAACAGCGGTTGATAGCTTGATAAATTTGCAGTTGCAAGATATGCGATGTCCAGTAAACTAGAAATGGTTACCATGTGATCATTTTTCTTCATCTTCAAATCTCGATATTACTCATATTCCATACCTTCATTTCTAACTGGATTCATACATTCATTTTGTTAATGCTAAATTTCTCTTCTAATAATTTGCAACATTTTCCCAAAATGATTGACAGGTGTCGTCCCATTTAGCCATCTGCCAATCAATATTAGCCAGTGAACGTGCGAGTCACTGATTGGTCAACTTTTGATTGAGAGGATGAATAGCAAAAAGTAAAAAAGTGCATATATTTCAGAATGACTGCGACACAGTACGAAGCCAGTTTGTTGTTGAAGTTGTGACGTAATGGCTTGAATATGATTGGTTGGAAGGTAAAACGGCAGTGGAAAAAGATTGCCTTGATTTCAACTTTCAAAAACAGAAAGCAGTTCGGTAAGGTTACAGTTTGTGTATATCAAAATATCTTCTGCGCATTCTAATACCATATACCGTTTTCTATCCATACCGTGAAGAGGAAATCCACCTTGACATTTTTGAAAGTTCTTATGAAAATCAATTCTTTTAACCAAATCTAAAAACGAGCCACCTATTTTTGATATGTTGATGATGTTTTAGCTATTTCCTGTTTAGAGCATGAAAGGTGACTGTTTCCACAAAAACACAATTCCTTGCATCTATCTTTTAAATCAACCATTGCAAAGGGCCAAAATATTCCACAAGCTTTCTTGATGCTTGAGTTGAAAGAGAAAAACTGGATTTAAGAATACTTTTTATGATTTTATGATTTTATGATTTTTACAAACATTGTTGCATGACTTTTAGGGAACAAGCAATGCAGAACAACCCTATCTCAAAAAATGAAACATGACCCTATCTACAAATAAGGCAAGGTTGCTGCATAAACCAAATATTTTTTAAGATTGTGACATAGAAAAGAAATTGAAAATATTTACACTGGTCTTGAGTAAACCAAGCAAATATGAAGCCAGGTTTCTTTAAAATCTGCCAGATGTTTTTTTTCAATACATATCGAAGCCTTAATAACCTAACAGCCACAGCTTACGCATTTCACCTAACTGAAAATACCTTATGGTAATATTCCTGTCCTTTAAAATGTCTACAGAAATTATGACAAAGGCTGGCAGACAAAAAAGTTGATTTAAGATTTCCTTGTAATTTATAGCTAGTTGCCATAAAACATAAAACCCAAGTTATAACTGATAAACATTTACAAGTGTTGATAATGTTATAACAAAGAACTAATTTACATATTAATTTTGCTGGCAAGGTCAACACAGTAAAGACAGAACATGCTTAGCATACTTTCCTTAAAGCTCAATCATAAACTAAAACTTGATAATGTTAATTATATTGCAGGTTTTCAAAATAAACAAACAAGAGCAACTGATTCTAGCTATTCTTGAGAATAATTTTTCATTAATTTTACACATTTATCTTTAATGATCAATTTTCAACAGAGAGATATTGCACTATTGGCCAAGACAGCTGTCACAAATTTACTATTTTCGACACAAACTAATTTCAATATGAAGTTGAATTATGTTCAACAAAACAGCATTTAAATTTGGCTGTATTGTAGAGGTACCTGACATAAAAGAGGAAATTTTCTGCTCTCTAATAATAACAAAAAACCTTACAATTTATGTTTTGCTGAAATGTGGTGAAATAGGAAAATAAAAATCCTTGCTTGTTTCCAGTCTAAAAAGTTCAGCTTTAGAGAAATGTTTCAAAAATAGTTGGGTGGTAGGCTTTAATGAGAACAGAGGTTGTTTTGGTACGTGTGACGAAACCTCTACGGAGGAATTTTTCCATAATACATATCCACCAAAACCTCAATTGTAAACTGCAGGCCCTTTAACAAAATTGATTGTTGATTTTTATAATTTAATAATTCTTGACCAACGATCTTTCAGTAAGTAAGCCTTTTGTAACATGACAATCAATCTGGTATATATCATGATAGCAACAAGATAACTGCAATGAAGCAAATTTTTCCTGGCATTTTATCTTTTCTGGTGTATCAATGCTTTGCTACTCATATTTCAGCTAGGCAGATCACAGATGTATGCCTATCTGCAGAAATGCACAAACTACATTGAAGTACTAGCCACTGGATAAATTTTTTAATAATCATGGTTAATATATGTGTGGACTCTGAAAATTGGTATTGAAATGCTTTCATCTAATCAATTTGGATAACAATTTATTAATGTTAATGAAATATATTAAGGTGCATTCAACATCATAGAATTGCCAACAAAACTTACAATACAAAACATCTTGAAACTTTATGCCATGTATCATACATGAGATGATCTGTCAATCTTTACTAATTCTGCAGCTTCAGCAACTAAAACAAATGCAAAAAATGAGAAGAATGACAAAGATTCTGATTGCTTTCTCAAAAAATTTATAGCTTATATGTCAATATGGGTAAGTGAAGCTTATGCATAATAAGTAAAAGATTGGGATTATACAGCCTTATTGTAATTTTTTTACTATCCTGGTTTATTTCATAAAACAAAACATATATACAAATCAATGACTCAGATATCATGATTAGATATCCTTTAGTTACTTATATTAGGCGACATAGAGCAAAAATGTTTTTATGCGCACATATGCTACCGTGATTTGCCTGCTGGTGAAAGTTGTGTCGTCCCAATTAGAATTACATCAAAATATGAGAAAACAAACCTTGAATTTTAACCTTTCCTCTACTTCATTTTTATGATGGAGTCAATAGATAAATTATCTACTTAAGATACATTTATTATATTAGAGTAAAGCTTTAAAAGCACTCATTCATCTTTTGTTTCACTAGATGCCTTTTGTCAAACTAAAGTATCCTATGCCTAGGCCTATTCAAGCAAGAAAGCTGCAAGAAAGGTATCATGTATTAAAATGTGGAACAAAGCTTCTAACTTTGACCTTGCCCAATGTTGTTTTCTTTTCATGCACAAAGAATACAAGAGCGATTTCAAAATCGAAGAAGAAACAGCTACTTTCACTCATAGCCAATCTTCTTTAATGGAAAGCTCTCTTGAATCTACTGCATATACCAAAATATATTATGGTTTTATCTTTTCGGTTAATTGCACCCAAAATTCACCAATACTCAAGTTAGGTATCTTTGTGGAAAATTTATGAAAGTGTATGAATTTTCCTGGTATACCGACCAATTTTGTCTTATTTTTTGAGTTGTGAAGGTCAATCCATTAAAATCAGCCTGCTGCATGGTGCCGTTTTTGAGATATGATAACTCTAAAAGTTGAAACTATTTCTTCGTAGAACTGATAATCATTGAGATTTACTTACACTGTAAAATTTAATATAAAAAGTCAGTCGATCAAGCTTCTACTTCATCCCACCATGATCCACAGCTTTTGTGTCTGTGGTGAAACCAAACTTCTGCACATTGCACCTCCCAGGAGGACTGGTGTATAAAAGTGATTTATGGTTGATTGGCATGAAAATATTTTGCATCACCCCTTTGGTCGCAGCTTACAGGTGCAAAAGCCCTTTGCAAAGTGGCTGCAAACATTTTTGCTCTATGTTAAATTTGGCTGAATGGTCCATTAGTAGAGACACCCTTTTTGAAGATTACACTTCAAAAGACTGCAACAGTGTCATAGCTCTAAAGTAGTTGTTACCAGTGAGACAAGTGCCAATAATCCATAGCATACACATAAAAGTGTTTGTAGAAGAAAAATATTTTTCAACTGAAACAATGATTTAAAGTTACTTCTAAGAATGTCAACTGCAACTTTATTTTCAATTTTTGCACCAAAACTTGCAGGCATACTGTAAATCCTTGAATAAGCCCCCCTCAAATAAACCCCCTTTGAATAAGCCCCCCCTTGAATAAGCCCCCCTTGAATAAACCCCCACACAAAAATTCATTTTTGCAAATTAGCCTTTGGGGGCTTATTGGAGGATTTATGGTATAAAGATTTAATGGAAATTTTGAGACAAATCTATGCCAAAAAATTACCTGAATCACAATCCTCTTAGTCGTATCAGCAAAACATCTGGAGTGATTATCTCTGTTCCTCCAATAATGACTTCCCAGTTCTTTGATGAATCTTTGTAAACCTCTGTGACTTCATATGCACACCTTGTCTCTGAGTAGCAAACACCCCCAAGAACGCAAATTATGATTCTTGGTCCACTCTTTGCATCAGTTTGGTTTTTATCTTTATGCCAGTTGCCATAGTTTCCTCGTCTGGCAGAAATGACACCTGAGACACCCATACCACTCATTCCTCTTGTGGTTAAGAATGGAAACATTTTCTGGTCAAGTTTTCCTTCTATTGCGTCTTCCATTATGTCTTTTACATATGGGACATACCTTGAAGTTGTATATGATTCACCTGGTCTTTCTTTCCGTTGAGGAGTGGCCTTTTTCTTGCCACTGCCTTGCACTACTGGCACGCCCAAGTGCACCATATTTAAGATTGCTGCTCTTTCAGCACCTGAGATCTTTGCATGTTCCATCAGTTTTGTCATATTTTCATCACTCAGACCTTGCATAACAATTGCAAGCAATATGATAATTCTCATCTTGCTATATTCACTTGTCTTTTTGTCAAGCAAAACTTGTACAACAGACCTCATGGGATCTTTGATCTTTTCACCATCCTTGTCATAACCAGTTGCAAAATCTTGTTCAACAAAACACAGTTTTTCAATTTGTCCTTCTTTGTAATGGCGCATGCAATCATCAGCAAGGTTCAAATGCAATCTGTATGTACTCAGTTCTTTCTGGTACTGTGGAAGCTTTTTCATCATCAGATGCAAATCTTTCATTGTAGCTTGCTTTTCTTTTGTTCCAGGCATGCCAACTTTCTTTTTCTCCTGAAATTCTTTAAACTTCTTGATAATTTCTTGTGATACTTGTGCAATATGCTTGTGTTTAAGAGATGTCCACAGCTCATCATTATTGTCAAGAATGGCCTCTTTGAGTTGATAATCCCCTCCACTGTGCTCCTCATACTTGTATACATCATTTTGGATATCCAGCAAATCATATGCCATGGCTTGATATGTCAGCTCATGGAGCAAGGGGGCAACACAATCAAACCCACGATCAAGAATGAGCAGCTGAGACTGTTGTTTATTAGGGCCTTCACCTATTGATGGATCATCTGCTTTAAATGAGTCAATCCGTCTTGAGACAGCCTCTGCCACATCTAAGGCAACAGACGACCCTTGCCTATATCTGATGGATGGATATTCACCAAGAGTGGCACATACAGTTGCAAGCTGCTCTGAAATAACCTCAACCATTTTCTGCCTGTTTTCATCATTCACAGAGGGGCTAAATAGCTTATCAAAAGCATCATATGAATCTAATGAAAAAACTTGACCCTCCATAGGCAAGAATGCAATGTTGATTTCTTTCAGTGTCTTTATCTTCCTAGACAAATAGCTTTTTGAACTGGAGAGCTTCTGAAATAGTTTTGCATCACATGTTTCTGTAAAGAATATGTGGGCAGCAGTGTATCTAAAATGTAGAAGAATAAATTTATAAGGAAATTGTAACTCACAAATTAAATATGAACAATTTAACAAAATTATTGGAATAGAATGAATAAGAGCTTATACTTCCTTGTTTACTATATAATTCTCGCATCTGTCTAAATCCAAAAAGTTAAAAATTAAAGCGGGGATTTTCATTCTTATAGAAAAGCCATTTTGTTGATGAAGTTTGAATCAATTCAGTTTGCTTAGCACAATTCTTTCAAATTTTATATATACATTATCTTTAATTCCAGGCGTAATAATCACGAGTTGTGGTCACAGTGATGAGAAGGACCAGGCAACTGATTGATAAAAATAGCTTCGAGCTGTGCTAAAAACTACTTTTCCGTGGTAGGTTAGAAACAAATACAATACAAATAATATGTCGATACATGACACAAAAAACAAGAAAATACTACAATTTACAAACAAACCTAAAATTCGATGCTTCTTTGAAATCGTCAAGCATCAAATCAATAGATTTTTCTGTTGGCGTTATGAAGTAGATTGCTTCCAAAGGGAGTGACTGTCGACCTTTCGTAAGATCTTCCACAATGGTTATGCCTTCCATCATAATCTCGTGCATTTTGCAACAGGAAGATATGACCCGCATTGCGAGCTGGTCAACAACCAGAGCTTTCCATTCCCCAGGCACTTTACAGCTCTTGACAACATCATTCAAAATCTTCTGACCAACAAGGTTCTTTAAAGACATCTTTAAGCTGAAACAGCCCTTTTGCTTTCGTTATATTGCATTCAATTTAAGTAGGCCATATTCCTGCATCCACACCTTAAAAGACACTCAGCCTTTGTGTCATACTGCAGAAGGCGGCGGCGGCGATTGGATGCTTTAATTGCCATGCAACAAAGGGGTTGTTTATCAGTTTTATGCAATGAAAACGTATGGGGCTTGGGTAGGGGGTGAGCTTCCCCTGAAAACGTTTTAGGACTCGCAAAATTTTCTTATACCCTATCACGAATAGGAAATCAATAAACGTACCCCATTGAAACCTTATTTTTTGCGAATCTAAATCAATCCTACACTGAGGTAAATTTGTATAAATATTAAGTCCATGTTTATGGGATTTTTCGCTGAGTTAAAAGTTTACTGTTTGACGCTTCTCTGATCGGATTTGCAACGCTACAAAAAGCTGAGATCTGTTTATTATGTTTACAAAATCCAAGACTCCAAAAACACTCAGCTCTGTCATTTAGGCTCTGTTTATATGGAAGAAGTAGCTCCTTTATGTGGGACCGAGACAAACAAGAAATTTTAAAAATTATCGTTAAAATATGAAAAGAACTTATCTAATTTGCCGAAATTTCTCTGGATTTTTGTTTTTGCTTTGAAATTCAATTCATTTCTTTGTAGCTTAAATTTTGTATCCTATATTTCTTGAATGAAGGGCAATTACTAATGGAGCTTTTTGTTAATTGAAGAAAACAGGCAAACCGATCACTTGCGTAGGTACACACAAATTCTTTTTATCTGTAAGTTGAATTGAACTCCTTGAAAGATATGACACATCAATTCTTTGTTGAAACTCGTTTTGGAAAATTGTGCAGGGTGTAAGCAGAAACATATCGAATTGCAGCAAATGTTCTTGTCAATATTTACTTAGCCTGAAAAAGTCTCAAGGACAGCCTAAAATGTCATAAAAAAATCGATACTTGAAATTGCTGGAATTTATGAATTAATTGAGAATTTCCTGAAACGAATTTCATTGAAAACTTGACATTTTATCTATCTACGTTTTTTGCAAACAAGTCAAGCTCGACTTCTACACAAAAAGTTTTAGGAACACTCATCGTACTTGTATTTCGCTAGCATACCTTTTATGATGTTTGTTTTTTCTTGTTTATCGTATCTTTGTTAGTATAATTAGCACTTTCTTTTAAACTAAAAGTTATATTGTTGTTATGTTTCTTTCCCTACAATGCTTTTTCGACAAAGAAAAGCTGTAGGAAAGATCTGAATTTAAAAATAATTTTAGGCCCAGAATGACAGGCCGGTCGGAACCGGGGGGAACTGGAGCCCCCCCCCCCAATAATTGTCAAACTGTAGTGTTTCCTTTATAAAAGCGTACTGAATGAGAAGGAAAACAATGGGCAGCCCCCCCCCCCCAATATGAATTTCGTTCCGACGACACTGAATCTGAATGAGAATAACAAACTTTTGCTACAGAGGGTGTTTAGTAGATGAGATTCGTCAATTGCTATGCTCCAACCGAGTTACAGGGTGAAGGTGAAGTTGGACAACGCGAAGGAGCGAAAAGCACACAATAATCTATATCCTTCAATCCAGTTTCATACCGGAGCAACAAGAACGCAAGACTAACAAACCTGATTCGTTCTTGTTCTGTGAGATGTAAACGTACATATCAATACTCTTGAGTGAGGCTAATTTTGTTTGCATGTGTTTTCAATACAGTTCATAACAGCGCAGATCCGATTGCCAGTAAGGCTAACTACTTTACTTAAAACATTTATTATGTAACTTGTGAACATTTATAATCTTACCCTCAAGCAAACTACATTTTTTATGCAGGATGACATAGAAAAACAAAAATTATAAAATTCTACAATAGACATATATACTTTGAAGTTTCGATAAATTAACATCACAAATAAAAATTGTTATAAATATAATCTCTACACTTATAAGTACTACTTTAAAATATATTTGCAAAATTCTATTAGTAATTCTAACTGTAATAATAAGATATCGCAATGTCAAGATTACGATTTTACAAACAATGAAATTTATTCCAATACGAGGAAAATTACATGCCTAAGGACTTACTGCAGCACTTGTACTGAACCTCTGCCATTGACGGCTTCTTACTGATAATGGTCGTCAAACTACAAAGTAACTGTTAAAAGAAGCAAGGTCGTATCTGACAGTTCATGGTCGTCAAAGTGTCGACATAACTGGAACAAAATTACCTTCGATATTTGTTATCGTAAGTAAACTTTATATTTTATTTTAATCAACCACTATATCACTATAAAAATGATTTAATATAAACGCGAAAGATGTGTGAAGATTATGTACGAAGCAGGTGTGTGGAGATAGCACCTATTAGTATGCAGTTTCTTGTTTCCCTTCGAGTACAAACTACCCATAGCTTGCAATATTATTCATTTTACTATATAATATATACAAATTCTATTCAAGAATGCAACTTTTCAAACGCTCTTTGAGCCTCTTTTTAAGCACCTTAAACTACCCAATCCTTCTCGAGTGTGTACACAACAATCCAAGAACTTTTTTGATGCTTTCCTATTCTTCAAAGCTAGTATTAGGAGCAATTCTTGAAAATACAAGAAATTACGTCATCTCCCGATCCATAAATGCGGCGTAGACAGTAAAAAGTTGTATCTCTGATAAACTGACTGCGTCAGCATATGTATATTGTTAACACGGAGCTGCTTTTGTAGCCTTTTCAGTTTCGCCTAACTTCCTATGCATTGAGATATGGATTCGTTTGGATGCGGCCGGGTTGATTGATATACGGATTCGGATCAACTGCTCTGGTTGTGTGTAGCTCAGTCTCATCTAGGTCCTTATCTGAATCAAAAAAGTTGACCCTCTCGTGGTCCTTGTCGTAAAAGATCCCACTGCTCATTAACGGCGTATTAGCCGACGCCTGGAGAGGACCATCTTCGTCTCCAGACTCTATGTCTGTCAAGTTGCTTGACTCTGAATCTTTCTTCTCCTTCTGAGCAGCATCTTTCTGTAAAGCGAAATTACATTGAGTCAACAATAGATAACGCGACAAAGGTTTTGGCCTACTGGCAATCGAAAGGGTTAACACTTTGCTTTACTCTGCTTGAATTAAAAAGAACCAGACAAAGACCTACAACAGAGGGTTGTATATAGAAGATGATGTGAAATGAAGTTGTGCTTTATAACTGACTCGAAGACTTCTAATCGTCATGTAGTGATTTTCATTCTTGCCAGAACAATCTCTTCCCACTCTACAGACCCAAAACGATACCATCAATAAATCTATCTGACTAAGGAGAAACCTCAGTTAAAGGCAGTATGTCCCCCATTGTTTTCAAAATCTTTTTTAATGGCCACGATATTCATGCATCGTGTGTTCAATACATAAATAACCAATCAGAATGAAGAACCACAATAGCGTACTTTCCCAGAGCGAGTTGACATGAATTTTGTTTTGAAGTCAAACGTCCAAGTTGGATTCGATGAAATAAAGATTAGGCATTTTTGTTGTGTTCACACACAATAACTAATGTCGGATGCTAAGGCAGAGGAAGACCCTCTTTTAAGGCGAGGCTGTCAAGTTAGAACTAGCCAATCATGGAGGGAACAGACTGCCTTTAAGAAAACATTAATTTCCATTCATTAAATTGAGTCCTTGCTGAACATTACCTAACTTTGTGACACTCCCTTTGGAAAGCTTCCATATCCAAAAAAACCCTCAAGGGACTTTTTTCTTCAGAGACAAAATACAAATTTTTTGATCTGTTTCTTAGCTACACCTTTTTTTTAAATAAGAATACTATCAATATTGCACAGCACCAATATTCTTAAGAAATTTTTCGTTTTGGGCCTAAAGTATTCTTACGTTTTTCAAATCTGATGTGGTTTCACGGGAACATTGCCCGCCTTTGAAAAGGAACAAAAGACGAGATGTATATCAGTCAAGCGATTCTCTATTATGAAAATCACAAAACAAGCAACTGCTGAAAAATGGGACACAAAAATGCCAGCTGAGGCTTGGCAATATTCTTAAAATATTTTTAAAAAATTGATGACTGACGGCGTTAATATTCTGAGCCTGAATATTCTTAAACTTAGCTGAATAAAAAGGACACAAAAATGCTACAGACTTTTAACTCAAAGAAGAAACACAGACAGCATCATACATTTTCATGCGAGTAGCAATAAGACCAGAGCTCCAAGTAAAAGGCCTCAGTTTTTGAGAAAACAAATTGCCTAAAAGACGACTCGATAAATAGATCACTGATTAATAATTCGCTTGCAAGCTCTTCATCAATTCTAGCCAACATTCCTAAACATGATCTCATTTTTCATAACCATGAATTCATTTATTGTAATCAAATTGTGCAGCTACCCTACGCATATAGAAAAACTGTTCTATTTACCTTTGCTTTGATCTCGCTAACGCTGCTTAATCTTTTATTGTCCAATAACACAACTTCTGCTTCTTCAAACTTCTTGCAGCTATTCTCCTCTTCAAATGACGTGTCAGATCCGAAGAACTTGTCATATCATGTATAATCGCGGTGGGACATGTGAGTGATTCCCAGGAGTACAGTGAGCAGCTACTAGTATGTTGAAAGCTGATTTATATCAAGTTATGATTTTATGACAAAATGATAGTTATGATCCGATGCGAATGATGATGACTTTAATAGATACAATGGCGGTAATAACGATGATAGTGACGAATAGAATACTAACGTCGTCAAAATTCTATTTTTAGAAATTTTTAACTTTGGTTAAAATAATTTGGAAAAAATGAATCAACTCTACAAGTGCAAGCGCGTTAAACCTTTTGCAAATTAACGCAACTGAAACTAAACGAGTTTTGCTGGTGGACTACTGTTAATTTACCTTGTTTTTTAACTTGCTATATCGCAGTCAAATTTAGAAATTTAATGTCTTGTCTATAACTGGGATTTCATCCACATTTTATCTTACGTCAACCTGTATAGCAGGTTTTAGTTAATGACCGAGACCAAATCACACCGACTGTGTGGAAAGAGGCTATGCTCGTGTGGCCATATCTCAGTCAATTTTTCATACATTAAACTGATTTATATACTAGCTTATTAAATTCCTAGTTATATTAAACTGATTTCACAAAACTAAGAGGTCTTTCATGGGTCATGGTCCAATCCAATTTAGAAAATTCTAAAAATATTTTTGTGAACTTATCACTTCAGGGCTCTACTACATTACCTCCGGTGAAAGACGTGCTGCAATGATCCTCGCCATTCTTCCAACTATTTCCGTGAACGTGGGGCGGTCGTCTTGATTCTCGATCCAACAATCAGCCATTAGTCCGTATCTAGAAACCAGAATCAATAAACGCTACAAACTTTTGCCATCAATTATCTGTGAACTAGATTGACCTAAATTCTTAGAGGTTCATATTTATAATTAAAACAGAAATAGCGTAAAATGAATTTTAAGACCCTATTAAATCTAATAAAAGCTCAAAAGAACGAATACCAAACGCACAGAGTGAGGGATAATAACCCTGTTTGGTAGCTCTATGGTAATCGTGTACTTACATATCATCCGGACAATATATAGGCTGCTCCATTCGATACCCGGTTACGAGGTAGTCAAGAAGATTGCGCACCGGTAGGCCAGGATATGGTGAACCACCTTAATATAGAGAAATACAAGTTAATAGCGAAAACCTGTTAAGGAGGGTCGTTTTATTTTCGTCAGGTTAGGGTCGTTTCATTTTCGTCAGAGTTACATGAACACTTCTTCAATGAGAATTCAGGGTTTTCGTTTAATAGGATTTTAAAGAATTATCAAAATGGTTAGATGCATTTGTTGAGGAAATTTTTGCTCCAACCGGTGATTTAAATGCTTGATTGCAAAATTACTCTACTCAAAACCGTTACAGTAAATCGGACACTCCAACCGGTGATTTAAATTCTTGATTGAAAAATTTCCGCTACTCAAAACCGAACAAAACCGGATACCGTGCAAATAGGAGATACTGAAAAAATGCGCTCACTTGTCAATTGATAAATGGTTTAACTCATTCTTTAATCAATACAATTTATCAGTAATGTATTTCTAAAAACCTTGATAGTCATTGGTCAAAATGAAGCAAAAGATTTGGTAGTTCAAAAACGGTAAAAACATAGTCCATCTGCAGCTATAAACAGAATCAAATGAAAAGCATGCGTCAAGGCTTCGATGAACTTGCCAGCTATGGCATTTATTAAGAACTATCTTTGTGAAACTTTGTAGCTTATAATTTGAAATTAAAAGTCATGTTATCGCTTTTCTTACCCATCGTCATTATCTCCCATAACAAAATTCCATAAGACCAGCTATGGAAAAAAATAAATTCAACATGAGAAATTTCATGAAAATACAAACATTTTAAAAATATAGCAAATCTCTAAAATATTGGTTTGAAAATCTTCACATTTAGAAATTATAGCATACCAGTGGTAGAATAGAGGTATAGTGCTAGGTTAAAAAAACAATTTGGCTGCCTATCTCTCCTCAGGTTTCTCAATTTCTGGTATTTATTGTTTATTAGACCCCCTAAGGCTCCAATACCCTAATGACTTTGTATCTGCGGACAAGCAGAGAGAAGCTGCCTCCTTCTTCAGTACATAGAATGATGAATGAAATGTGACTCTTCTCTTTCTTGTAGGCCTAAAGCTGAAACATCAAGCAGACATGAAGCCTTCAAAGCGGCTGCGATCTTATCAGTTTGCAGTTCCCTCTGTCAACAAGGCAAGTACTAAAATCATCAATAGTAAAGATTCACCGAGATTGAAAACATATCAAAATCATCAACCCTTCAATTTTGGGATGGTGAAGGTATTTAGAAAGTGAATGTAAAAAACAAACTTACACATCCGATTGATGGGTAAAAATCCTTTCTCGTATTGCTTCGATGGCCATCCATTTGATAGGTAGCAGTCCCTAAAAAGATCAAATATATTTTCATCTATCTTAAACCACTCATTGTTAATTCTAACTGATCTTAGCTGCTGCACGTGTGAAGCATAACACTTGAACGAGTATACTGAGGGTGGCTGCCATAAACCATTTAAGATCAAAATTTGATCGGATAGCTGCATTGAATACTTACAGCTGAGAGTTTTACGTATCGATCGTCCTTGTATATGTCTCTAGCGAGACCAAAATCAGCGATTTTCATCACATATCCTTCGCCAACTAGCACATTACGAGCAGCCAGATCTCTATGAACACACTGTTAGAAAAAAGAAGGTATTTGTTAATAGAGAATAGTTGAAGAAAAACAGAGAACATCAAAGTTAAAAAGATAGACAATTCTCACGGCCAATGCTATGCACTTGGGTACCAATGACTTGGGTATCAATGATTCGCAGTGCTGTTTAATACAATTTATACCTTTCTCACTTGGGTATCAATGATTCACAGTGCTGTTTAATACAATTTATACCTTTCTCTTAGGTTGAAATAATGTTTAATTTGGCCTCTTGGTACTATGTTTACAAATTTTCATTTCATATTTACAGAAAATAATTCTTTGTGGATTATACGACGTTTGGCTAGGTCATAAACTTGCTTTTAGAGCCGCTGGTGGATGATGCAGGGATATCGTATTTTCAGGGTAAGAAAACTAGCGAGGCAATATCCCGGATGCACTTGTTGAAATTTTTCATCGGAATATTCGGCAACAATATCATGTTTGATTAGGATAACTCACTCTTCTTGAAGAAAGGAACTCCATTCCTTTTCCAACTTGGTAGGCAATCACGGCCAGATCGCACGTCGTCAATTCGTTTTCCATTCCAACTGTTTCCTTCTTCCAAGTTGTTTTCAAAATCGGACGCCTACTTTTTAAGAACGAAAGGAGGTTCCCATGCGGAGCATATTCCAAAATAACCATCAAATCCTTTTCCACGCCTGTGAATGAGATATAAAAGTTCAGTTAAGTGGCCAGCAAACATCAAAAATAGTTAGAAGGTATGAATGTACAAAAAACTTTCAAAAGAACATCGAATCTTTTGCTCAAGTTTCAGAAATCATGGAAAAATCCGTTTTCTAATAAAAATGGTGACTACAGTCTACTGCCTAGAGCATGACAAGGATTGTTGATTTAACTATTGTCAAAAAACTTTCTCCTGCTGTACTTGGTTCCATTTATGATGACAGGTGGGCCAAACAACTGTTTAAAACTGGTTAAAAGGGCGAAGAATATTTTTAACACGAAAAAGCAAACCTTTGGTACAAGCTCCCAAGAGGTTGACTATGTTACTGTGTTCTCCAATGTGGATAAGAATTTTTAACTCAGATACCAAATCCCTCATTTCGTCAGAGGATGCGTTTTCTGAAGAATAAAAATAAAGAAGTTGTTCATATTTGATAAGTATGGCTGATAAGGCAAATTTTGATAAACGTACAAAATGTGTCAAACTAGAAAATTTGACATGCTACAGAGTATGCAAGTAGACCACTCCGAAAATGCCCTGTTCCAATTGTGCTTTTCTTACGGACCAGGCAAGAGTAGTTTTTCAACGCACAAGTTTGTTCATAACTTGATTTCCAACCTGGGTCCATTGCTTACCTTTTTTCAGAGCACCAAATTGTCTATTTCTACCCTTCTCGTATTAGTGTCACTTAGGGAATGGTCAATCCTGACCAGAGCCCAAAACAGTGGTCCTGGAGACGCTAACTTTAATAAAAGGCGTTAATTATAAAGCATATACTAACATATAGCAATAATATATAAAATGATTATGTTTGATTATGTTTCAAAGAAATATTATGTTTGAAGAAATTGAAAATACCCAATTTTAAACTTCGAACATACAATCGGAGTATATGAAAAAGCAGAAAAATAGATATTGAAAGCTAAATGAATCTCATTAGACGATTAAGTTTGATTGAGCTCCTTGCAATCGTGAAAGGAAGGTGGAAGATTTCTCGTCTACAGTGCATACTATTTTTGTGAATCAAAATTTAAAACATGATGAAAAACTTGATATTAAAATTAACTTGAGGCATAAGCCCTCTCTTCTCTCCAACAATACCTTTAAGTTTTTTAACTGCAACCTTTGTGACGAGTCTTCGGTAACTGCTACCAGATCGTGATGATGTGCTTCCAGATCGAGATCGTTTTCTGCTTAGTAGTGGCCTCTGTTTCAAGCTGATTCTCTCTCTTGGCTCAAAGCATACAATTCCAACGGCCTCTGCGAGATAAACATCTCCAAAGGCACCTGAACCGAGGCGATCCACTGTTGAAGACGAGGTAAAAAAGACTTAACACGGGTTAATGTAGGTTAAGCAATGTGCAAAAGTCAAATGAATCCAAAACTTGTACAACAGCTTTTTAACAATAATTTAAGTTCATTTTTTGCTAGTAAACATAAAAAACTGTATAGCGTAATTCTCAATGCTATTAAGACTGTACTCAATAATAAAGTTCCCACAAATGAAGCTCTTAAGCAACATCAATGTTTACTTCTTATCTAAAAACGTATATATATATTTATATACATTGGATTGAAAAATGTCAATTGAAGTCTTTCCAACTACAGTTTGAAAAAGAAACTGAAAATCCTGACTGAAGTGAAAAAGAAACGTATTATATAACAAATCTATTGGACAATATAAGATTGATAAAGAAAGTCGAAGCAAAAAAACAAGGGCTAGTTCGCAATGTCAGTTTAGATTCGAAGCTAAGATCAGGTTAGCGTACCTGGGTAACTGAGCCTAAGAAATTTGGAGAGGTAAAGAATTTAAAAAAGAATAGGGAGATGCGAGAGAGAGGAGAGAGTTTAAAACAACTCCCCTCGCTCTTTGTGTTTCTTTCATCTACATTCATCCCGTCTCGTTTCTATTCTGGTACCTAGGGTAAGGTTAGTGATGTCAGCGGGGATTTATTCGTCGCTACAGTAAGTGCTGATAAATGCTAACTTACGTAATCTGATTCTTTTTCTTGGAAACTCCCAGACCGGGTCATACGGAAGTCCGTTCGTTTGATCAATCAATGCACGTGCAGGGTCAATGTTGCGCAAGTGATCAGGGTTAGGCGGGGCCGTAAATAGATAGAATCCGCCGTAAATCTTTTTGCGTCTCAGCAAGACAAAAACACCAACGACTATCAATAGAGTCGACAAAAACACAACTGCAAGCAAAATGTACGAATTGGTGTGCTTATCTTTTCCATTAGGAGAGCGGGCTGATGAAATTCGTGCTGACCTCAAATCGATTGCTTTTTCTAAGAGATATAAAAAAAAGGTTTTGCATAATCTGTCCCAGTTCATTCGTTGAAGCAGAAAGATTGATATATATACATATAATCATTTTTTCACATAAGCTGTTTTAAATTTGTACAAAATGACTAAAAATATTTCTGATACACCGTTTTTGACCTTCAAAGCTCATAAGATTATATTTTCACACATGACAGTTTCTTTTTACTAACTCAAAAATAAGATAGCTTTCTAAGCTTTTGTCAGGAAATCACTATAGACAACAATATCAATCTACCGAAAATTGAAAACTCCAAATATCGTGCACTTTGGGGGAAATTGGATCTTTTCATAGATGTAAAACAATTTTACTCTCCAACCGACTAAAGCGCAAAAAGGCCAACAAAATATTCCTAAGAAAACTTTAAGAAAAGATGTCGTCTAACGTGGAACTTGAATCCCTTCTGCTGGTTGTTAACCTTGCGATGGTAATTATTTCAAGATCCAGAGTTTCTTTCTAACAAAGCAAGGAAACTTAAAAAAATTGAATTGTTTCATTTAATTTTTCTAAATCGAGGGAATAGAAATCTTGGGGGTACTTGTAATAATCAGACAATATATTTCTTTAAAAATGAAAACAGGCATCTATGAGTTTTTAGGATATCAAACACTTACCAATTTTCAAAGTGGCAGTCGTGTTTCCAAGTGAATTCAAAGCAAAACACTCATAATCAGTGAAATCACGAGACGCTACTTTTGCAATTTTCAAATGACTGTTAAAAGATAAAAATTCGGTTAACAATGATGAAAATTCATGTGCTTATTGTTACATCTAGCTAAACATTATGTACCAAATTCAAAGTATTTCTCATGTTTTTTTTCGATGAAATTTGAGACTTAATCTGATCGACATAAAACATCGCCAAATCATTGCTCACTTAACGTAAAAGAAGCTTATCTTAAGTTACATCCATAACATCTAATTCCAAGTCTAAATTATTTTAAGTTTTCAAGATGGCCAGATAGGTTAATAAAAATAGAATCGGGTATCTGATATACTGATTTCAACGATGAAAATTATCTTAAAAGAAGTTATGCACGAGCACTAGTATTCGTCCTACCTTGATCCCGTTTCATTGGTCGCCATCCGTTTGCCAGATGACTTTATCCGCCAATAAACCAATGGTTTGGGATTTCCGCTTGCGATACAAATCTCTTGAACAGGCTGTCCTTCTTCTACCGCGATTGATTCTCTTTCCAGTGTAATTGCTGGTTTCACTAGGGAATTAAAAAACATTTATTTAATTATCTGTACTCTGTTTTCTTGTTTATACTGATGCTTGATGATATTTCTGCCCTCAGAATGTTCATCTATTTAAAATGATTGAGTGTAGTTAAATCATTATCATCAAATCCCATCACTTTAAAATTGGCCTCGCTGGATTCGCTTCTATGCATAAAACTCGTCATCGTGTCCGTGTAATCTATCGTGGAATCTATCGTGTTGTCCTCCGTGATGAACGAGGAAAATAAAATATATACATGCATCGTATGTCTTCATTTGCCAACACTTTGTGACACTATTCTTTCTCAAACTGGATAAATATTTCATAATAACGATCAATGTAAGTAAATTGTACCAGGAAATTTTTTCCCTAAAATAATTACCAAAATAATATTTAATTATTTTAATTTTTTTACATTTATCGTTATTATAGCATCATATTGTACCGCACGCATTTTAGTATATTTATAGATAAATATTTCGCCTACAAATCTGGCAAAAGGTGTATGCATGCCAAATGCACCAAATAAATAAAATACAGCAATAACACGTTTTAAAATTCACATCACTATTTTCAATGATGAGAAACATTTCTCTACATACAGAATATTGACCTTAAATTGTAATTCTAATCAATTTTTGTATTATCTGTTCAAAAGATATTTTATCTTCAAAGAGCTCTCAACCATCCTCTGGAGCAGCAGAAATATTTCTGTAGATACAAGATTTTTTCTATAGATTTTTCAAAGTAGTATATACTATAAATTTATTTATCATATCCGAGCACAGCTCCAAAGCAGTAAATATCACTGACAATTGATTTATTACTCTACCAGTACTGAGTGTGAGAAAATAAAAGATTTAAAAGAAATAAAAAATAAAAGTGTGAGAAAGATGTCTTCTTGTTAATTTAAAAAGCACACTACTTACTGAGGACATTAAGAGCTTTCGATGCTTGAGATGAACCAAGACTGTTGCGAGCGACACACGTAAAAGTGCCATTGTTCCCAGGAAAGCTGACTTCGCAGATTATCAACCACGATAGAAGGCGTTTGCCATTTTCAGTTTCAAAATAATAGCCATTACGCGAGCTGACACATTGACTTTCATCACTTATAAGCTTAATGTCATGGATCTCGGTGCCGTCTTTAAACCAAGATATCTTCGATGCAGGATTTGAAGTGACATTACAGTGAAGGGCAGTAGAAGACCCGGACTTAGGATTTGTCGGGCCTAAGAGTTGAACAATTGGGGCAAAGGTCTCTGTAGAAGAGAGTAAATAACATTATTGGAATTGTGAAACGAAGAAGATCATACCATTTACAACTAGAGACACATTATTTTGCCAAAAGTTTAAAATTTTTTATGTGAAAGAACAGGATTGGAGAAAGTATGCTAAACGAAAATATCCAAGCCGCAGGCAAAAGACCTGACCTGCCATAGTCGTGCCAAGCGTTCATATTTCCTCTTAGTTTAAAATACAAGGTAGTTGATTCAAATTAATCGAAACATGTTGCGTAAATTGTTACTATTCAATAAATGCATAAATGAAAAAATTAACATTTGTGTAGTAGTCGTTGAAAAATGCACAATTTGAAACTGCAGTGCTTCTTTTCAGGTTTATATTTACAGTTATAAATTTATTGTATCCTTATGTTATTCTTTCTGCAGTTGTTCACCTTTTTGCAGATGCTTCAATTTGCGCATCATGACCTTGTTAGGAACTTTTAAGAATGGTAAACTGAAGGGTTGAATGAAAAGCAACTACGTATTATCTTAACATTGATATGGGTGGCTTGTGACTAACACAGTGAGATCAAAATTGGGGCCTAACTACTGTACATATGAATTTTCACCTAAAGCGAAAATTCACACACTTTATGAACCAGATCTATAGTGGATAATTGTCGCAAAATTCTGAGAATCATTGGTTCTCAGCTGATCCGGTTGCATAAAATAGACAATGAAGCAAAAAGTAATAATTTAAATAATCGGAGGCTTACTCTTTATTTGGATGAATCTAGAGACCGTCATTGTGTTGCCTCGAATCGCTTTCCCAACACAAGTATAATTTCCAGTATCATTTAGAATAGCACGGTGTACAGTCAGGATCGATTGGGATGGATATGACGATGACATTTCCATTGATACAGATATTCCGGACATATTGGAAACAGCTGCACCATTCTTCAACCAGGAAATTTTTGAAAATATCCCAGGCCTACTCGTGCAAGTCAAATCGACTTTTTCGTCTTCATTGAATGAAAAATCCTTGGACAAGATTTCGAGTGGCTTAGGGCCTGTCAGAGAGGTAAAGAGATGTGTATGATGAATAAATGCATTAAAATTAGCATTCAAATGAAATTTCAAAGAAATATAATATAAAACATTTAAAAGCTCGTAAAATAACTTTTGTTCAAAGAGATCAAAGGTGGCTACATTTTAGAACGGTCAGTTTAGGCTATAACCAACTATAACACTGTGTTTGTGTCGTTGGCTCTAATAACTTTGATTTAATATAAAGCCAACATTTTTCAAGGTACCTGAAGAGAAAAAAATTCCCTTAATAATAACTCCGAATCAATCTTACCACATAAAAACAAATAAGTAGCCTAAATATTGAATCACAGCGTATTTAACGTTTAGTAGAATTCGGTGCTTAGATAATGAACATGAACATTTAAGTCACCTCGATGCAATCATCGCTTAATTCAATAACCAAACAATCGTGATTTTTCATCAAAAACGCTTATTAATCAGCTAACATAAATTCATTTCAACGTCATAAAACTGAGTAATGTCAAGTCAAATTTACCATTGTATAATGAAAATTTACTCGTATAGTGAAACCTCTTCCTTGTCTTACGTCCGTTAATTTGTTTAACATTACCTTTATGCTTAATTGCAAAGATTTTTAAACGTACTTTTACAAACAAACAAATTATCCCGCTTATTGAACTCACTAATTATGGAGGGTTAACAGGAAAAGGATCAACATCAAATAATAGCTTTGCTCTGCTTTAAAGTCCATCGTTAATTGTTTTTTCTTTCACTTAGGCATTCTATTAAACCTACTCATTACAACCAACCATCAACATTATTGCTTATCTCTCCAACAACAATTTCTCTCCATTTTAAACTAGCAGCCTCGTGTACTAAAATGTCCCTGCAGCCTAGGAGTCTAAAAAACATAAAAGCAATTGCAAACCTTCTCTGAAATACAGGAACTTCATTATATGGCTATCGTTGCCAACTTTATTACTGGCAATGCACCTGAAAAAGAAGTCTCTTTTGTACGAGGCTGATACTTTCAACTGCGACAACCTCGTTGTTGAATTAATCTGAAACTGTTCGCCGGCAACAGTTTTCCATAAACGAGGCTGGGGTAGACATTCCTGTGCGCTTATGTGGCAATACGGCTGCATCTGCCACGAAATTGAAGCTGGAGGGTTTGACTTTTTTATCCGGCATTCTACTGGCACATCCGGTTGCACAACTGTATCAACTGATTTTTCCAGTGCTGGTTTTACTGAAATTAAAATTTGCCACATCAATAAATCCAAAAGTTTTTGATGATAAGAATCAGAAAACAACAGGGGTGGCGCTGGGTGATCGCAAAGGGCTATATTCCCCCTTTTTCGGAGCTTGTTAATGCTACCCCTCTTTCCATCAGAAGATGAAATATTGTAACAACTTTTATATTCCTTGAATGAGAAAATAATTTATCCCCCAGTCGGATTAGTCTGCCCCTTCATCGTAAAATTTCTGTTACCAACCCTTGAAACCACACATGCCAACAGTCGAACTAAACTACTACTTCCTTTGACTTTAGAAATGAACTAGCAAATATTACTCTTTGTTAAGTGGTTGCTTTTTAGCAAATAAATTCAATTCAGTATGACAATGTGATACTGCTTTGCTGCAGATCAACAACGTTAGTCGTTCATGTGGGTTGAATCACTTTGTTCGTATTAGGCTAGGCTACTCTGCACTACGATCATTTGATCATTCAACGAACTTGCCAGACAAAAGCACAGTTCAAGAAATATCATCAGTTTATTCATAATCTTTGCGTTACTGTCCCACCCGCTCTACGTAGCGAAAACCGTCAAGGATTGGAATTCTCAAACAAGAAATTGCTACTTCACCCACAGGAAAGTATAACTATTGTGAACATAATTAAAGGGAAGGAAAGGAAAAAAGAGTTCTCGTAAAGATCGACTTGTGGTGGACTCAAATAACGCGCACAAACTGAAATATAACGTACAAAGGATAGCTAAAAATTGCTGTAAACGCAAAACGGATTTAGGAGTTCTAAAAGGGAGGAAACATGAAAAATCTGGAGCGGATATGTGGTAAAAAGTAATGGAGACGGTTAGATATTGTGGCTTAAAGTCGTGACAATGCTTCCGATCGGTTTAAATACGATTTCTCACAAGATTATCAGTACGTTAAGTGGTAAAACAGAAGATACTTATTTCTTTACGTTAACGATCTTAGACAATTAATAATAGACAGCAACTAAGTGATAAAGGCGATAGATAAAAAATTAATGAATTAAGGATAATTATGCGCCAGGTTGTCCACACGCCACTGACTAACATAAGAAGGGAAAACATAGAGAGAACATCAAAACATCACCTATTTCACAATAGTTCATCCGATATCAAAGCTAACTTTGTTAAAAATTGTTGATTTTAACCAAAATGATTGCTTGAACTTTGAATGCAGGAAGAGTTAAGATGAAGTTCTAATCTCTGATATTCTCTTGATTGATCATTATGAATAAATTCTCCTATTTTCTGACGTTGGTCACTAACGATATCCATAAATCTCCTTGCCCCCCCCCCTCTGGGTTAGCAAAAAAGACCATCATAGTCCATTCTTTGTAGACTTTGTAGAAGTTCTGAAAAAGGTGTGGTGATGGGTGTAGCCCGCTGAAAAAGCTGATCTTTGCATGCCTTACGCAAATAGTGGTAAAAGGCATTTCTTATGGTAAGGGCGTGATTGTGGGTGTGGCCTACTGAAAAAGTTATTCTCAGCATGCCTCGCTAAGGAAAAAGGCGGTAAAAAGCGTTATTTCGTGGTAATAAAACAAATTTGAAGCAGTTATACTTACCAAGAACAGAAACTGTAGTATTTTTCATTGCGTATCCATATTTATTTTCAAGCTTACAAGTTATTACAGCATTATCATCTGGAAATTTCACCTCTCGGATAACCAGTTTCTGGCAGGAAGGGATGTATTTGGATTTCGGACGGTCCTTAAGCGACACACCATTAACGTAAAATGTAACTTTTTCGGTTGGAACAGTCATATCTGGTTTGCATCTGAGTGTCACTTTTCTCCCTTCAACTATTTCCCAGGAGCGGAAACTCTTTATCTTCGGGGGACCAACTACCAGAATAAAAAAGAACCGTTTTCATAGCAAACAGCTTTGAAGTCAAAGAAACGATATGGAAACGAGGCGTTATGACCGATGGCCAATCGTGCCACAGGTGAACAACCCGGAAATGAGGCAGAGTGGATATAATGAAAATACCAAGCCATTTGCTAAGAATGGAATAAAACAAATCTTGGCTGCGAACTGCATTAGATTAGAAATCGATTTTATTCTTATTTCTAACAGGTTTAACAATATAGTTCTGCAATGCAAAATTAGAAGATGAAGAACAAAATGACGTAACACCCTACAAAAGAAAATACGCAGCTTGCTAACACTGCAAAACAAATCAAAGCTTGCAATGAAACCTACCTTTAAATGCCAAATGTGCTGCCCTCGACCATTTGACAACAGGGGGAGAGGCAAATGCTTCAAGCTGGCACTGATAATCGCCATTGTCCTTTGTCGTTCCATCTAAAATGTCGTATGTAAGAGTTTGTACAGTTTGTCCTCCTTTCAAAATCACATCTTTCAGCTTGGTTTTAGTCTTAGGAATAACCAAAAATCTTCCTGCATTATCTGTATGGTAGAGTTGAACGATTCCTCGCCCTGTCGCTGTGCAGTTAATGACACGCTTGTTCACATGTGGGCCGGGACACTTCACTTCCCATTCTACAACTGATATTGTGATTCCAAAGTCGTGATGTCCAGGCTCTAAGAGAAAGTTCAAATCGCGATATGAGTAAGTGGCTTAGGCAATATAATAAACTGCCACCAAATACAGAAAGAAATTTTGAAAAGGGACACGTCTTTAGATCATTCCCTAATCCACAATGTGTTCGTCATATAACGAATAAACTGTTAATGGTTGTTTAATGCAAGCGAGTTACCCTGAAACCGTAGTACAGGGCAGGCAGGCCGGGAGCTGTTGCGGGGTTTGGGGTAAATAGAAAGACGTCATCAGTAAAACTGTGTCATTTTTATTGCTTTCTTTGGAAATTTGTCCCTCTCAGCTCCCGGCCTCGGGCAATCTGAAACAAATGGGGAGCAACTATAAATTTATTAAAGATACTTACCAAAAGTTGTTTACGAAGTATGAAGCTGTCCGGAACTCCCTGGTAAGGGAAACGTACCCCCAACCCAACAAATCATATGCATCCACAAATATAAAACTTACTTGAAGTAATAATGAGAGCAATATGCTTCTTCTCTAGGCCAAGCGCACTGCATACATATTCCGAAGCGTCTTCTGTCTGTAGATTATGAATTCGTAACGTCTGATTACTGATTTTCACGTATTTCTTACCATCAGGTACGATTTCAACCTCATTACCAAAAACAAGCTTTCTAAACGAGACTGGTTCATCTGGCGCAGAAAGTCGACAATCGATGTCAAAAGACCAATCGAAGTGACCATTTACGACATGAATGTCTGTCAGCCAATGCAAACGTCCTGTAACATATAAAAACGTGTAAAATGAAAGGAAAAGGTATGAATCCGAAAATCTAAACAGCTCTGGCACCGGCATTAAACATAGTTTACTTTGACCAACATGTCATGGTAAGGACATAGTCCCTTTTCTTGGGTGCCAGAGCTGTTAAGGTTTGAAGTGTTCTCTGTCTTTTCCAAGGGGTGTTGGGCTTTTTCCTTATTGAAAGCACTGGTTTCCTAAAAAAGGTCCCTAGACTCGAGGTGTATATAGGGTAAAACTTCTCTTTATATCTTTTGAGCGGGTACTATTAAAGTTCAAATTCAGAAAGGGTGCAACTGGCGTTCGTCTCCTACGTCAAATTCAAGGCACACCGATCTTTTAAATACTTTTGATATGTGGAACGTCTCTCGGGCTGGAAAATGAGACGTGGCTTCACCGTTGGTTATGAGCAACAACAAGTGACATTTGATTTAAATGAGAACTTTTGCGTAATAATTTTACGAACATAATTTCACAACTATAAATGAAGAGTAGATATTTGATAGTTGATAGCAACCCAGAAATAACACAATAAAAGGCGTTGCACAGCTTCAAGCAGCTTGGAAAACCTGTTGATCGTGAATCGAAATGGGCCTGAATTGACCTTGCTTGCTGGCGCACGCACGAACAAACAAATAAAGAAAAAAGCCACAGAATTTGTTAGCTCTTGGATACTAATTGATTGAAATAAAAACACCAAAGGCATCAAGTCGTGTAAAGCTCGTCACGAACTTAAAGAACAAATGGCTGATTGAAAACATATTTCCCGAATAATAGGTCACTAGGAATTCTTTATCACTCTCGAATATTGCACAAAGGAATTCAATGCAGGTCCAGTTATTACTTTTGAAGTTACTATAACACGCAATACGCCATGATTATCAGGGTCTGCAAGTCAGCACCAACCAACACCCATCTACTCCCCCTAAATAAACCATGCAACACTGATATTAACTATCCCAAACTTGCCTTCTCTTTTTGATAAAACAGAATATTAATTGCCCATTTCATTCTGATGAAACCTTTTCTTTTAAGTGAAATTATTTATTGTTTGAAATGAAAAGGGATTGTGTTTCCTGTGATTTACTGGCCTATGTTGTACAATAGTCTACTATCAAGAAAGACATGCCACTATCGTTTTCCACGACCTTAGTATGAAAGTAACATAGTTGACATCAAAAGCAAGCAAAGGAATGCATCAGAAATGAGTGCTTTATCGTCTAAAAGAACCATCTCCATCCCATATTTGGAAGTACCATTGTTAAGCAGTTTCTTAAGGCTGTCGGTGCTTGGGTTTCTTAACTTCCTTAACAAATGGCTCGATTTGGAAAACTTTCCAAAGGACAAAACGCGAGTTTCGTTCTCGGAAATGAGGATGTTTTCTTCCTGTTTCCAGGAAGTTTTCTACAATAATAAAGTGTATTGTAGAAACACCAAAGGTAAAAGCAGCTCTGCTTATAAAATTTGACGGATTTTCGGAAAATTCTCAAACTTGAGCTGTAAATCAATAAATTAAGTCTTTATTTGATATTGAAGACCGGGACAGTGCCGATTTTGTGCCTGTAACCAGATTTTTGAAAATGTCTGTCTCCGATTTGAAAATTCATGCAGTAATGTTGTGTAAGGTTGCATGTAAGAATTCATGCCAATTTTGTGCCTGTAACCAGATTTTCTAAAATTTATGCAGTAATGTTGTCTGGAATTCATTCGCCACGACGCCTTGCAATCATATACATAGCTATATTGTACTTTTCGGACGAGATATGCCTATGTGGTTTTGGAATAAGGATTCTTCATGAACAGACAAACTGTGTCGGGGAATCTCCATCGCACAGACAAATGGTGCGCACAAGCCTTGCTAAAGTTACAGAATTAGTCTCCTTTCGCAATGAGTAAATTGGCAAGGGAAGGTAACTTTGGAGAAAGACATCGAAGTAGGGGATACAAGAAATATTTCTCGATAGACCTGGAGGAAAGATTAACCATATTCTAGGATACTGCAATACAAAGAAAGCTAATTGATGTTTTGGGCGTGGTATATTAAACTTAGATTAAAATAAAACAATGTTTTATGGCAATCAAACATCTCATATGTAAGCATAAGATAAATAAAAAACGGCAATTATAAAACGGCTGAATTAGTAAGCATTATGGTGAGATAAGCAAGGATGCAGTTTTCAAAAACTGTGCTTGAAACAACAATCTTGTTTTTGGGCTTTCACTTGTTTAGCCCCCAGAAAAGCTCTTGATCCCCCTTCATAGAAATAGTAGGGTTAGCTATGGCCCCCATCCATGATAAGCTTTGCGGGCCTTTACGGGCGGATACCCCCCTTCATCAAGGTGAGCCCATCATAAACTGAAGCAAAAACACATAGATTGGACGCTGTGCAATGAATGAAATCGTCAGGAATTAGCTATTTCCTATGTGATATAATGGTATAGAAGCTTTGTTCCCTGAAAATAATATCGTGACGAGAATCGCATTGTTATTAATTGCTTTTCGGACTATAATTAACTTCTAGACTATTGTTTCTGTGATTGTTTTTATAAAGCAGAGTGTTATTCCAAATGTGCTTTTTCCAACAATATTTGCGTTGGGTTGCTAGTCAACAACGGTGAATAAAATACTTACAAACTAAAATAAATTAAAATATAAAGTTTTGATTTACCTTACTTCATCTAAAGATTGAATATGCTATTAAGGGCTTATAAGAAAGTTGTAAGCCTGTTAATATCGAAAATAAGCGGGTGTTACACTGTAAGCAAAACAAAAATATTGATTACAATGTCAACAGTTTGAGACAACATTCACCATATGACTTGCTTTGTCCTGAGAGTCAAAAAGAGTTGTGAAATATAGGGGGAGGGAGGGTGGTGGGGGAGGGGGGTTTGGCGAGGGAATGTGACAAAGAGATACGTTTTTTACCATCTAGCCATTTTATAGTGCTTGGTAAGTAAATTTTCAAACGTGCCAGCAAATAAAGTATTGTTCACCCATTTTGTCGGCAAATGGAACACCGATACCTCTTTGTACCCAAACGCATCGCTACACATAAAACTCCTGAACTCCGAAAATTCAATAAATAGCTACAAAAAATGGCAAATTGTATCTTTCTACAAGTTTTTTCACGGCCATGCTGCTGCAATCGATTTGAAAATAAACATGAAAGTTTAACCTTCGTCGAATTATGGTGCTACTTACTTTCCTTTAGCAGGAGGCAACTATCTTGTTTGCTTGTAATAATGAGGGTCTTGTTCGAGTTTTCAAGAACATAACACTTTTCCAAAACACTGTCACACGCACACGCACGTACGTAAGTTAAAACAGGTTTAATTATCGGTTTTTCGAATAAATGTTGTATCCACAAAAAAATTTCTTCATATATTCATCACTGAAGAACATTTATTTTCCTTGTACCGTATTTAGAAAATGTTTGCAAAATACACGTATTTTTTATAAGAAACTAAGGTCCGGTGCTGGTACGCAGTTTTTTAAATTCTCTGGACATTTTGCTATCAAAAGTTTCTTAGATGTTTCTTAAATTTCTTAGGTAATGAATTTTTCAAACGTGCTTCCAAGGTAAAGTAAATAGACTAACAGAGTGAACAAGGAATTTTGTTTTCCTAGAATGACTAACTCTGTTGAGATCTGTAAACAGTTAAGCTCATTGAACTTCATCAATGTCAAGTTGAAGTCAAAACAAATTGTTAAATGGAAACGTCTTGAGTGTGCCATTTACTGAGAATGAATGCAAACATGAACACACGCAGTCAAAAGTAGCTTGTTCTTATTCAGTACCTAAGTATATTTTTAAAAAAGTTTTAAGAAAACCACAAAATTTTCTCAAAAAAGGTAGCACTGCATATTGATTTGAAAACATTTGGACTTTCTTGTTTCAGTTTCACAAAAGGAAATGAGTGAATTACGTCACGACGCCCCCAAAACCCCTTAGCGTTGCTAGCTATTAATGTTAATTGCTTTTAGAAACAAAACAACAATAAATTCTACATTGAATTTGGTACACTAGCCGCGTAGGAAATCAAGTATAATAGTTATGAGCAAATTTAAAGACGTTCGAGCAATTTCCGGTTCTGACAAGTGCGTACTCACCATTTGAAGTTTGTATAGTAGTCGTTAAGAAAAACACAACCACAGTTTGTAATATTTTCATACGGAAATTCTGGCTGAAATATTGTTTCTCCATCCTTGCCTCTTGAGTAAAATTTACTTGAATGTTCCAGACACAAGGTATAATTTTATTAACGAAAGAGCTGATTTCGAATCGACCACAAACTGAGCAATGCAATCATCTTATAAAGACGAATTCCTTGTGACCTCAAGCATATTTCGTATTCTTACTGTGCAACAAATGCTGATGAAAACCTCATAATTGTCTGTATCTTCCGTTTACATTCTCAATTTCAAATCGTCTGTTAACTGTCAATTTTCTGTTCAAATCTTTCTTCGGCCCAGACTTAAAATCAACAACTCGTGGCTTCCTTGAAGGTCTTTCAGAGTGTAGTTAGCCTCCCACCGTTTAGATTTCTCATGAACAATAACACAAGAATCCAAGAGTGACTGTCTACTGAAAGAAAGCGGCTTGACTTACCATCACATCCGGGTTACATTAGTTACGGGCTTCTGAACACGAGCTCGTGCGTCACCCGCTCTTAAATGCCCAGATCCGGGTTTACAGCCCTCGTCATCCTGCGGTTAGCATACGTCAGGGTGTGTGAATACGCAGAACCATCCTGCTTCACATCGGCGGGGGAGATTAGCAAGGTATTTTTGCAACTGACATCGAAATGACCAGGGGTGGCGCCAATGGCGCCAGCCACTAAGCTCTGGGGGGGGGGACAGACCAAAATAATTTAAGCCACGCACTTTTAACCACCAGAAAACGCCCTTTTACCAAGAGGAAACGCCAATTTTATTCGAAGGGAACGCCTATGACTAACTTTTGTTTGAAAAATTGGCAGTTTGAAAATCATAGGATTACATCACAAAAAGTACGGTGTCAAAATATTACCCCTCCCCCATTATTTTCTCATCGAATTGAGACGAAATACAAAATCGATTCTGCTGAGAACTGGGGGGACGTGTCGCCGCTACTGGGTGGCGCAAGAAACTAAACCACGATATGCTGACAATCTAAGAAAAATTAAAGTGCCGACGGCTATAAAAATGGTTCCTGCGATTTTTCATGAACACCACTTTACAGTATCTTTAAATCTTAAATTTTTTTGAAAATGAATAAAAACAAAGTGTTTTTATCCGTCAATCACCGGGGCAAGACAGCCAAAAAGACTTTCCTGCGAACAAAGCGAGCAGAAAATTTTGCGACCACGCCCTTTTCTTTAGCTTGAATACATTCCAGAATATTTCTTGGAGCGAACTTTTTCCAATAGTTTGGAATGTTTTACTCTTCTGGACATAATTTTTCATGCTTGAAAAAACCAATCTTAAAAATTGAATTCATTACTTTAAAAGGCCCCATAGAGACTTGAAGCCCTAGGAAAGTTTTCTCGTTGCCCCCTGGCCCTCTCTTTGCGGCCCTGGTTATTTGATGCATCTGTTATTTGAAAGTCAAAAAGCCAGCCTGAACTTCAACTTAATGGTTGTTATAAAAAAATAAATTCCTCTTTCGACAGTTTCAAAGTACCGACAGTTCGTTTTCTTCTCTTATATAGGGCTGCCGATGGGGGTGACGTTGGAAGCTTTTGGAGAGGGGGGGCAGCTGCCCCATAGCGCCATCCCTGGAAATGACGTAGCGACCATACAAAGAGTCGCCTTACTCTTGGTTTTAGCCTGTATAGCCTTCACACTGGCTTCCAAATCCTGCAGGATGTTATAACTTGTAATTGAAGATATAGTGTATTGAACTATTTACTCGTTATTTTAGCCGTTTGTGCATAAAATTTCTAAGTAATGTTTCTCTAGAACCTACTTTCCTGTTTGCTACTGGCCGCAGATCGATTTGCCACTCGCTCAAACCATTGATATACACACCTACACAGAACAAATAATGATCTTGAATTCTAGCCCGACGGGGGATCGTCGACTATTAAATAATTAATGCACCTGTGGTATGCCCAATGTGCCATTTTTCTATACAACTAGACTCAGGAAGAATTAAGAATCAAGGCTACTTACCATCAAAGAACTATTCGAGCCTCTCTTATATAATTCAGGATTTTTTACTTTGTTGTCATGCGTAAAAATTTTGGTAGTCACTGTATTTGATAAAAGCAACTTGAAGTCGAGGTTCAAGCTCAAACCATTGCTATGAGGTCGACTTTCGAAAAGATGGTTCTGACTACGCGATATGAAAAATGTGAATTAATTAAAGACTTTTCAATACAGATATCCTGATATTTCAAACACCAGTTTACTACCATTCTCCTTCACAGAGGCCATTGGGGAGGGAGATGGGAAGTGAGAAAAGGTCTTCTGCATTTTCCTTTTATCTTATCCTCCCCCCCCCCCATTTACCTCCCAGTAGCCTCTGTGCATGAGAATTGTCTTCCACCATTGCAATGTATTGCAATCGCAGTTTACAGAAATTAGGCTAGGCCTAAGGAATGTTACCTACCCTCTAACGTTTTGTGAATGTCAAGAACCACTCAAACATATGGAATTCATGGGAAAATACTAGAATACCAACACAGAATTAAAATATTGATACGATGACGGTTTAGAATTAAGAGATCCATAACTAGCAGCAGGGAAGTAGTTCGAACAAGATTAGATGCAGTCTTATCTTATTCAAGATTATAGTAGTGGTTAAAAGTAGATTTGTTTGAGAACGAGACAGCAAAGCCTCGGATAAGGAATGAATCCTCTACTGATCCCATTTCAAATCTAAATAATGGTAGAGATTACGATTGCTAATATTCACAGTGAGACCGTTATTGTAATTTTATGAAGAATTTATAGAATAATATCAAAATTAGATTGCGTTAACAGTCTGCAATGCTCTGAGGGCATTTAAATTGTCAAGCGGGTACTGAACTGATGAAAACAAGATTTGGAATTAAATTGCAATAAATGCAAAAGAAAAGAAAAACAGCCTTAGCTTTTTACATCAGTGGTGGGCACTGGCATCGTATTTGTATCGAAGAACTGCAAGCTCTTTAGCTCGACCATTATGGCATTCTGAATTTCAGACTAATTGTTACTTTTAACAAACCGAACATTTTTTAAGGATGGTACTCCAAAAAAGTAGCTGTCACTTATGCAATTTAATTTAACATGCTTACCATTTTCCCAATGAACAAAAAATTTCAAGGAAATATTTTTAAAACTCGCGGAGGAAATTTTTATCAGTGTTGAAAAATTTGGTCATATAAGCTAGTTTAGATCTGGGCTCGTGGGCTACATCCGGCCCTCTCAAATTTTCTGTTCAGCCCATGCGTGGTCAATCAGAACATGAACTTTTTAAGGAGTATTCTCTACTTGTTCTACACCACAGTTTCATATACTTATATAAACATTTACAATTAAATTACAAATAAACATTTAAAATGAATACTGCGCCTAAAAAAGTCATCATTGGTTCAGCCTTCCAACACAGATCAGGTTTCTCACATGAAGTAAAAATTAAATACCCAACCCGATGCTTACCATTTAAAGAGGTAAATCACAAAGCAAACACGAACGTATTTGTCCTTCCAACTTGTCGCTGCATGTTATCTTTATGTTGACTTAGGTATTTTTGTATTTTCTTAATATCATATTCTATTCAGATATAACACTCCAGATACTGACTGAAATTTGAAAGTAGACACATGAGGTGGGTCTATTAAGTGACTACCTTCAAAATTTTTCCAAAAAAGCTTCGGATATTTCTGAATTTCTGATGGGAAAAAAACAGTGGAGAAACCACAAAAAGTTGCCCTGTGGTGGTATTTTTAACTTCAGAATGATCGCTGAATACTTTGTTCATCTTACGCTAACACTAGGAAGCCCTTGTTTATTTTGGGTTTGGCCTTTATGTCTTGCTTTAAGCTGCTAAAAAGAATATTTTCATTCAATGCAATTGTAAATGTATTATCAATTCAATTTCAAACGCCATTTTTTGACGGTACATATTGTTAGCACACATGATAATGTTACTTAGCTTACATGATTGTTTCAAGTCCAAAATCAATTCAAAACTAGATCAACGAAAAAGTTATCTAGATATGAAATTCATAATCTGTATACATATTTCAAAATGAATTTTTTTTAAAAAGGCCAGTATTGATACCGATACTCGGTCCTGCCCAGTATAGATACCGAAACTCGGTCCTGCCCAGTATTGATACCGATACTCGGTCCTGCCCAGTATCGATACCGATACTCGGTCCTGCCCAGAATCGATGTAGAATTAGAAGTAGAACTAGAATGCAATATTCCCCCCTCATTGGCGTTATTCAAGATAATAAGGTCCACTGTCTCCTTCTTTTCTACAGCCAAAACTTGGCTAGCAGTGTACCCGTGTAGCTAGAACAGCTTACAGTCTTCAAATCTACCCACATGTCACTGTATTTGACCATGATTTTACTAGCAGCCCTATCGGACTACAGAAATAATATTTACACAGGATTACCTTTCAAAAAATTCAGTACAACAAACATATCAAAGTTTCAGAGACAGCGCAGATCCGCAGCCATTGGCAAACGGACATCTACTTTGCCATGGCTTTGCAAAAGGGAAGCGAGGTATCCCTTTGCTCTACTCAGGAAATCATATCCCATCCCCACCCTCTTCTGGCGAACTAGTAATAGAAGACGGGTGGTGGTGAGAAAGGAGACTGGCAGCCTTTTCAATGAGGCCTTTTCAAGTAGCATCTGGACGATTTGAAAGTTGGAAAGAAACTGGCGACAAATTCCGTGTGGCAGATTTTGAACGGTTGCTAACACTGATATCAAATAACAATGATACTGAAGGAGCATGTTGAATCTGAGTACCGACTAAAAATGCAATTTCCAATAGAAATGGCTCTAGTATGGATTTCCACACTAATTCTGAATGATTATCTTTGAACGATAACTGCAGTCAATATTTAGAACTGAATGATTTAAATCTACCCTGGTGTTGAAATGAATTATTCTAGCCTACATCGTTTTAACAAGGCTTGTGACCTTATAAATAGCAGATATTTGACTGAGAAGGCTGTTAATAGGATTTGATGAATATAATAGTAGCGGTAAAAGATGATTATGATGATGAATTTAGCAATGCAATATGAAATTTTACGTTTATTTACGTATTACGTGTTATTTTTAAGTACAACCTGTCTTGTTACTTTATATTTTATCTGTAAATCATCAATGTTTTGGAATCACCTTTTCCGAGGATGCATCCTATACCAGCTGTTTCGTGGAAAGAAAACAAGTTTATTATTGTGACGTAATCGATGAATGATGTTTATTCGACAGGGTTTAGCACCAGTCCTACAGAGACGACAGCTATTTCGGTCTCCAAGACGAACGTCAAAATTGTTCTAAAATAAGCAAGAAGGAATAAATTTTTGTTTTGATTGTACGATTCAACCTTAAATCCTTAATAACTGTTTGTTAAGACTTCATCTTTTCCTTTCCCTTTAGGCATCAAACCTCGAGGGGGTCAAATGTAAACACGAGTTATCTTGGTAAATAAA